GACAGGTGGGTGTAGGGTGGGGTGTAGGGAGAGGTGGGCAGGTGGGTGTAGATAGGTGTAGGGACAGGGTGTAGGGGAGACAGGTGGGGTATAGGGACATGGGGTGGGTGTAGGAGGGGTGTAGGTGGGTACAGGGGCAGAGGAAGACAGGTGGGTGCAGGGAGGTGGGTGTAGGAGACAGGTGGGTGTAGGAGACAGGTGGGGTAGGGAGAGACAGGTGGGTGTAGGAGACAGGGAGACAGGTGGGGTGCAGGAGACAGGTGGGTGTAGGAGACAGGGTGGGTGTAGGAGGGAGACAGGTGGGCATGTGGGGGAGACAGGTGGGTGTAGGGACAGGTGGGTGTAGGGAGACAGGGTGGGTGGGTGTGTAGGGAGGTGGGTGTAGGAGATGTGTGGGTGGAGGGGGTGTAGGGGAGGGTGGGATGTAGGAGACAGGGAGACAGTGGGTGTGCAAACAGGTGTATAGGAGACAGGTGGGTGTAGGGAGACAGGTGGGGTGTAGGAGATAGGTGTAGGAGACAGGTGGGTGGCAGGTGGGGTGTAGGAGATAGGGGTGGGTACAGGAGACAGGTGGGTAGGAGACAGGTGGGTGTAGGAGACAGGTGGGTGTGGAGATAGGTGGGTATAGGAGACAGGTGGGTGCAGGGAGACAGGTGGGGTGCAGGAGACAGGTGGGTGTAGGAGACAGGCAGAACACAGGGGTGCAGGAGACAGGTGTGGGGTGGGGGAGACAGGTGTGGGTGTAGGGAGGAGACAGGTGGGCAGGTGGGTGTAGTGGGGTATGGAGACAGGTGGGGGAGAGACAGATGGGGTGTAGGGAGAGGGGTAGGGAGACAGGTGGTGGGGTGTAGGGAGACAGGTGGGTGTAGGAGACAGGTGGATGTAGGAGACAGGTGGGTGTACATGTGGGTGTAGGAGACAGGTGGGGTGTGTAGGAGACAGGGTGGAAGGGAGGGGAGACAGGTGGGTGTAGGGACAGGTGGGTGGGGAGCACAGGTGTGTAGGGAGACAGTTGGTGGGGAAACAGGTGGGGTATGGGTGGGTGTAGGGGACAGGGTGGGTGTAGGAGACAGGTGGGGTGTAGGGTGACAGGTGGGTGTGGGGACAGGTGGGTGTAGGAGACAGGTGGGTGTAGGGATAGGTGTGGGATAGGTGGGCATAGAAAGGGTGGGGTGTAGGAGACAGGTGGGTGTAGGAGAGCAGGTGCATAGGAGACAGGGGTGTAGGGAGAGGTGGGTGTAGGGAGATAGGGGGTGTAGGGACAGGGTGTAGGGAGACAGGGGGTATAGAAGACAGGTGTGGGGTGTAGGAGACAGGTGGGTGGGGAGACAGGTGGGTATAGGAGACAGGTGGGGTGTGTAGGAGACAGGTGGGTGTAGGGAGAGGTGGGTGTGGGATAGGTGGAGGGGAGGAGACAGGTGGGTGTAGGAGACAGGTGGGTGGAGATGGGTGGGGTGGGTGGGAGTAGGGCTGGGTGGGACAGGTGGTGTGGGATGGGTGGGGTGTAGGGATGGGTGGGTGGGTGTAGGAGACAGGTGGGTGTATGGGTGAGGGTGTAGGGGAGACAGGGTGGGTGTGTGGGAGACGGTGGGGTGGGTGGTGTAGGACAGGTGGGGTGGGTGGGTGTGGAGGTGGGGTGGGTGTGGAGGAGACAGGTGGGTGTAGGTGGGTGTGGTGTGTAGGACAGGTGGGTGTAGGAGACAGGTGGGTGCAGGTGGGTGTGGAGACAGGGTGGGTGTGGGAGACAGATGGGTGGGTGGGGACAGGTGGGGTGTAGGAGACAGGGTGTAGGAGACAGGTGTGGGTGGGTAGGGAGATAGGTGGGCATAGGGACAGGTGAGGTGTGGTGGGAGGTGGGCAGGTGTGGGTGTGTAGGAGACAGGGGGTGTAGGAGACAGGGGTGGGGTGTAGGGGACAGGTGATGCAGGGGAGACAGGTGTGGGAGGTGGGTGAGCAGGGAGGTGTAGGGAGACAGGTGTGTAGGGAGACAGGTGGGTGTAGGGAGACAGGGTGGTAGGTGGGTGGAGGAGATAGGTGTGGGTATAGGAGCAGGTGGGCTGTAGGAGACAGGTGGATGTAGGGAGGAGGAGACAGGTGGGTGTGGATGTAGGAGACAGGTGGGGTGTAGGAGACAGGGTGGGTATAGGAGACAGGTGGGTGTAGGGAGACAGGTGGGTGAGGAGACAGGTGTGTGTAGGTGAGGTGTAGGGAGATAGGTGGTGTAGGAGACAGGGTGTAGGAGACAGGGTGGTGGAGGGTGGGTATTGGAGACAGGTGGGTGTAGGAGACAGGTGGGCATTGGACAGGTGGGTGCAGGGGAGACAGGTGGTGAGGAGACAGGGACAGGGTGGGTGGGTAGGGAGATAGGGTGGGGAGACAGGTGGGTGTAGGAGACAGGGTAGGGGAGACAGGTGGGTGTGGTGGAGGAGACAGGTGTGTAGGAGACAGGTGGGTGAGACAGGTGGGGTGTACAGGTGGGTGTGAGGAGATAGGTGGGCACGGGTGGGGTGTAGGAGACAGGTGGGTATTGGAGACAGGGTGGGGTGTAGGGTGACAGGGGTGTAGGGACAGGTGGATGGGAGACAGGTGGGGTAGGACAGGTGGGTGTAGGAGATAGGTGGGGTGTAGGAGACAGGTGGGTGTACAGGTGGGTGTGGGAGACAGGTGGGTGTAGGGAGACAGGGTGGGTGGGAGACAGGTGGGTGTAGGTGACAGGTGGGTGGGGAGATGGTGGGTGTAGACAGGTGGGGTGTAGGAGACAGGTGGGTGTAGGAGACAGGGGGTGGGGAGACAGGTGGGTGGGGTGACAGGGAGTGTAGGAGACAGGTGGGTAGGAGACAGGTGGTAGGGAGACAGTGTGTAGGAGACAGGTGGGTGTAGGAGACAGACAGGTGGAGACAGGTGTAGGGAGACAGGTGGGGTGTAGGGAGACAGGTGGATGTAGGGAGACAGGTGGGGTGTAGGGAGACAGGTGGGTGTAGGTGACAGGGGTGTGGTAGGGGAGACAGGTGGGTGTGAGGGTGAGGTGAGACAGGTGGGTGTAGGAGACAGGGAGGGAGACAGGTGGGTGTGGGAGAGAGATAGGTGGGGACAGTGGATGTAGGACAGGTGGGTAGGGAGGAGACAGGTGGGGTGTAGACAGGTGGGAGTAGGGAGACAGGTGTGGGAGACAGGGTGTGAGGAGACAGGTGATGGGAGACAGGTGGGTGACAGGTGGGTGTGTAGGGGAGACAGGGCGGCGTAGGGAGACAGGTGGGGTGGGTGAGGGAGGGGTGGGTGTGGGAGAGGGATAGGTGAGGGTAGCAGGCGGGTGTGGGGAGACAGGTGGGTAAGAGAGACAGGGTGGGTGTAGGGGACAGATGGGTGTAGGGAGACAGGTGGATGGGTGTAGAGGTGGGGGTGTAGGAGACAGGTGGGGTGTAGGGAGACAGGTGGGTGTACAGGTGTGAGAGAGCATGTGTGTGTAGGGGGGGTCAGAGACAGGTGGGGACAGGTGGGTGTAGAGGAGACAGGTGGGTTTAGGAGACAGGGGTGTGAGGAGGTGGGTGTAGGAGACAGGTGGGTGTAGGGAGACAGGTGGGGTGTAGGAGACAGGCGGGGTGTAGGAGACAGGTGGGTGTGTAGGGAGACAGGTGGGTAGGGTGGGTGTAGGAGACAGGTGGGTGTAAGAGAGATAGGTGGGTGTAGGAGACAGGTGGGGTGAGAGACAGGTGGGGTGGTGGGACAGGCGGGTGTAGTGACAGGTGAGGGGAGACAGGTGTGCAAATATATAGGGACAGGTGGGTGTGGGGACAGGTGGGTGTGGGAGACAGGCGGGTGTAGGGTGACAGGTGGGTGTAGGGAGACAGGCGACAGTAGGGAGACAGGTGGGTGTGGTGGAGACAGGGTGGGTGTAAGAGAGATAGGTGGGTTTAGGGAGACAGGTGGGTGGGTGAGAGATAGGTGGGGTGAGGGAGACAGGTGGGTGTAGGGAGACAGGTGGTTGTAGGAGACAGGTGGGTGTAGGTGACAGGTGAGTGTAGGACAGGTGGGTGTAGGAGACAGGTGGGTGTAGAGACAGGCGGGGTGTAGGTGACAGGTGGTGTGAGGAGACAGGTGGGTTTAGGGAGACAGGTGGGTGGGAAGAGAGATAGGTGGGGTGTAGGGAGACAGGTGGGTGTGTAGGGGAGGGGGTGAGGAGACAGGGGTGGTGGAGGACAGGTGTGGGGTGTACAGGCGGGTGTAGGTGACAGGTGAGTGTAGGGGAGACAGGTGGTGGGTGTAGGAGACAGGCGGGTGTAGGGGACAGGTGGTGTAGGAGACAGGTGGGGTTTAGGGAGACAGGGTGTAAGAGAGATAGGTGGGTGTAGGGACAGGTGGGTGTAAGAGAGATAGGTGGGTGTAGGGGAGACAGGTGGTGTGGGAGACAGGTGGGTGTAAGGAGACAGGTGGGGTGGAGACAGGCGACAGGTGGGTGTAGGAGACAGGTGTGTAGGGTGGGGTGTAGGAGACAGGTGGGTGTAAGAGAGATGGGTGAGGGGTGACAGGTGAGGGGACAGGTGGGTGTGGAGACAGGTGGGGTGTATGGGAGGGGAGACAGGTGGTGTGTGTAGGGGAGACAGGGTGGGTGTGGGAGAGACAGGTGGGTGTGAGACAGTAGGAGACAGGGTGGGTGTAGGACAGGTGGGTGTAGGAGACAGGTGGGTGTGGGAGACAGAGAGATGAGGTGTAGGAGACAGGTGGGGTGTAGGGAGACAGGTGGGTGTGAGGTGGTGATGTGTGGAGACAGGGGGGTGTAGGAGACAGGTGGGGTGGGGACAGGCGGGTAAGGAGACAGGTGGGTGTAGGAGACAGGTGGGTGTAGGAGACAGGTGGGTGTAAGAGATAGGTGGGTGTAGGAGACAGGTGGGTGTAGGAGACAGGTGGGTGTGGGTGTTTCAGTAGTGAGTGTAACAGGCAAGTGGGTGTGGGTAGCGTGGGTGGTGGTGCCCGGCTCACTGTGTGGGTTGTCTCTCCCTCAGCTATGGACCCAGTGCTTCCCACCGGCCCGTGTGGCAAAGGGGAGACTGGTCAAGCTTCAGCCTCCACTATTGGGGCTGGAGGCTTGGATGCTGCCCCTTCCTCCTCCCTCTCTCAACCTTCCTCCTTCACGGGCACCATGTCGGCCGCCCGCCCAAGTCTCTCCACTGTTAAGCTCCTCAATACTGTCACGTTTGAGACTATCGAATCTGGCACTGACAAAGATGATGATGATGATGATGATGAGTGTCTGGACTCGTCGATGCCAACTTTCAGATCCAACCTTCTTACCGCCACTGCCTCAGAGACTGTAGACTCCGGCATTGGCAATGATGAATTAGGTGCTGAAAATAGCATTTCTAGATTTCTTAGTAGAAGTGATGATTCTAGAATTGAGTCAAGTGACACTCTGAGCGAAACAGATGTGGACAGATCGTCGTTTAGATTTAGTTTTCGAACGCCATTGTCACAAAAACCTACTGAACTCACATCCCCAGCTAGTGATGTGAAGGCCTTTACGTGGAACTCTGAACACTGTGTCTCAACCTATGCAACAACCCAATCTAGCCCCACAGTTACCCTTGTTACTACAAAATTTGCTTCATTATCAGTGTCGTCCCCAGATAAGGAACTCCCTTGTAAATCTTTCCCTGAAACCTCCAGTCCAAGTGCCACGCCCTCCTCAGGGATATTCAACATCAAACTCCTCAAAGAAAACCTTTTGAGAGAAAGTGAAGGACTAGACCCCCTGCAGCCATCACCTAACTTGGAGGATTCATCTTCTACCTGTAGTTACCTAACGCTCTCTGGCTCTAGTGGCTTCTTCTCCAAGTCCAATGCTACCGACGAGGTACCGTCCCCTAAGACCTCGCCGACAGCTGAGACAGAATACCCCACTGAAGTCAATGGTGATGTGCCCTCCAGCACGTTCAGCTTCCTGAGGTCTCCTGCACGGTCTGAGCCTACGGTCCATGACACTCCCTCACTGCAGGAAGCCACCACTGACGTCACAGACCAACCTTCAAGTACAGAATCATTTGGACGTACAAGGTTTTCTTTTCTCACCAAAGCTTACCTTCCACCTATGGACAGTGCAAGTGAGGAGAACGGGACTACAACGGAGCTCAGGTGGTCACCCTCCTCAGAGAAACCCATCTCGTCGCCTACATCAGGATTCACCTTCTCGTTCTCAAGGACCAGTGAAGCCTCCGCCACCACGCTCACCAGTGCCACCGTCACCCCCGTCGTCACCTCGTCTACAGCTTCCCCGCCTCCAGATAAATCCAGATTTTTCTCCTTCCTAAACCTAAGACATTCCCCAGAGTCAGTATCACCTCCCTCGCCATCTCGTAGTACTGGCGAGAAAGTGTCACCCCCTGGAAGTAGTCACAAGCTCAAACCGGAAGGAAAAGACAAAGTATGTGATGCTCAAGAAGTTAAAGATGAAAAATCTGACAAACTTCTTTCAGAAAAGATACGCAAAAGGGACACAGAGACCAATCAATCAGGAGAACAAAAGAAAGGTAACCCTATCACCCCTAAGGACTGCACTTTGCTTGAGTGTTCCAACTGCTCTCTTATCACTTGAAAATTTACCTCCATTTTGGTATTGAACACTCAAGCAAAGGCCGATAGAAATGTATGTACAAGTCACAGTAGGATGACACTGTAATGATGTTAAGCGATATTGTACCTTTAGTATGAACAAGACACTAGTGCCATGGGTCAGTAAGCTCTTAGAATATACTGTACAGTAGTCATGCACTAAACAGTAGATGTGATCAACTAATGACAATGAATTTTGTAAGCATTGAAAACTGGCCTATTATTTTGATTTTTAGGTTAGAAAAAAAAATAATATTTTCTATGTAAGAGAAACAGTATTTTTGTTCTGTTTGTATCACTGTACTTCACAATATTCTTTATATATATATTTTTTTTTAACCCCCCTCGTATAAGCACGCTAAGCTCGTATTAACTACATCAGAATATTTATACATGTTCCCTCCTTTATTTCTGAGCGTACACCCCCACCCACCACAGCCCCCTCCCCGAGTAGTGTGTTTTGGTTGGGTTAGAGTTCCCACAGTAGTAGTAGTTCTAGCCATAACAACACCCATGGACACGATCCCTCGCCTGACGGGTTTCCTTACAGACCTCGAGGAAACGGAAGCCCAAGAGTTGCAGAGGAAACTGGAAATACTAAACCACATCATGGACCAGGAGACACTCGGGGCACCAGGGGCAACCAGAAACCCTCAGCTCAACCTCATGTGTGAGTGTGAGTGTGTTAGGAGGTGTGGGCTGTTTTGGGGTGCGTTGAGGGTGTGGTGTGTAGGTGTGTTAGACTTAGAGAATATGTGGGATGTTAGCAGGTTTGTGAGGGTGTTAGAGGGTGTGGTGTGTAGGTGTGGTGTTAAAGGGTGTGGTGTGTAGGTGTGGTGTTAAAGGGTGTGGTGTGTAGGTGTGGTGTTAAAGGGTGTGGTATTTGAGGGTGTGGTGTGTAGGAGAAACATAATGAGCTGTGGTATGAGAAGAGGGACGAGTTTTGGGGAAGTGGAATGATGAAGTACTATAGCTTGTGTTGTCCAGGTGTGGCGGTGAATGAATGAGTGAAGGAAGGAATGAATGAATGAGTGAAGGAATGAATGAATTAATGAGTGAAGGAATGAATGAATGAATGAGTGAAGGAAGGAATGAATGAATGAATGAATGAGTGAAGGAAGGAATGAATGAGTGAATGAATGAATGAATGAATGAATGAATGAGTGAAGGAAGGAATGAATGAGTGAATGAATGAATGAATGAGTGAAGGAATGAATGAATGAGAATGAATGCATGAATGAATGAGTGAATGAATGAATGAATGAGTGAATGAATGAGTGAAGGAATGAATGAGTGAATGAATGAATGAATGAATGAGTGAAGGAATGAATGAGAATGAATGAATGAGTGAATGAATGAGTAGGTGGGTGATTGATAAGATAGATTTAATTAGAGATAATCACTTTTCCACTAAAATATGATAAGATAATATAGCCTTAATGTATATATTTCACTAACTTAATAGCTAAGCAAGGAGATGTTGGCAATATTGTAAGTACTGAACAAAGTTACTATATTGTGAATTAATGCCTATATACAGTACTTTATACTCTAATGAAAAAGATTGATAATTAACTGTATGTGTGGGGAAATATATCCACTTTTATATTTACTGTAGTGTAGTGTAGTGTATATTCTGTATCTTGGGAATTTGGGACACCTTGCTTGTAGGACACCTCTTACCTGATGTAGACATGTAATTAACCATATGTAGACTCATTACAGTATGTATTGTTATTATTGTGTAATTCATTGTTTGGTTAATGAGGATTGTTAGTTTTGTTCACAGTTGTTCATAGGTTATTTTTTGTGATTAAAGATATATTTCATGGTATATTAATAATGATGTTTGTAAAAGTCTTTTGTTACCTCAAGATATAATGTGTTCTGTAGAGTAAATTATAAACAGAGGAGAATAATGAACTAGAGAGATAATGAACTTAATCACCTCTGGTTATAATGATTATGATAGGTTATATAGGTAAAAAAAAATAGGTAAATTTATGGGTACAAGTAAATGTCAGGTTCAGAATTCCTCATAATATCTGTTTACTGACATCCTTCTTCCTCTCACAGCCGGGATGTCAGAAGACAGCGACTACAAGAGTGACGTCAACTACCCCGTGGGCCAGCACCCCAACTCCTCCGCCTCGCAGTTCCTCGCCGTCGCCAACCAGATGTCCACGCCACAGAGATCCTTAGAAACTAGTAGAGAAAATTCATACGAGATGGACGATGGTGGTGGCGGGGAGCAGAGTCTACAGGAAGGCTACAGTGAAGGATATGACACCATGGTGGGAGACAAGAGCAGCACCGGCTATTACGACAGTTACACCATAGAACACAACAGGAAGAACGAAGGTCACGCGAGTTCGGGCGGTGCCGAAGAAGATCTGTTCTACAATAGCCGACCAAACAACAGGAAAGATTATAGGTGCAGTTGTTGTCGGTGTTGTGTTTCTGTTATCTGGCCTAAGACTATATATAGAGGCTTTCTTCCTGGCTTTTTAGTTTCCAAAGTCTGCATAGTTTAAGAACAAAAAAAAATAATATCTGGGATTCAATAAGCATCTGACTCTCAGTAAGCAACCAAACACTACTTAAATTTTGACAATATTTTTCGAGAAGAACGATAACTGGAGTAGTCTTTCTCTTTGATTCTAATGTATATGTGAACTATATATTATATGTTGTAGTCTTCTCGCGTGTACCTGTAACCTTAGCTAACTGACTTTTCCATAAGCTTGGTATTTTCTGTGTTTGAAGATGCCTAGGAGGGGGCGTTCCAGGCTAGCCATACGTCGTCCACGCTCACCCATCTGCTGTACTCATATCAGAATGTAGTTAACACTTTATCTGATTCAATTAACCGAGAGTTTATTGTTTGAGAAATTTATAAAAAGTCGTTTATAGAGAGAATATAACAGCCGATTTTTCGTTCCTTACATAAAATTTTTAGTTGGTGAGTTTTATAAAGTTTCTGGTACCTTATGTGTATTTGGTACTGCTGGGGATGTTGTTTGTGCCGTGCCCTGCTGGCCTGGATTGCCCCGCATGAGTAAGAAGGGAGTGACTGATCGTGCCTCTCTCGTCCTGTCCTTGTCCCTGTAGGTATCGCCCGGATCCGTGGGATGACAATATCAGGTACTGGGACGCAATCGTGCCACACCTTGCGCATGTCCTCGCTCACCAGTTCTGCCTCTCCTCTAAAGCTTTCACTTTTCAACACAGTTATTACAGACATATATGCATGTTGTATACATACTAATTTGTGTTATTTTTTCTTAGCTCTTTCAGTCTTCAGTATTCACCTGTCACACCTTAGCATGTCATATTGTATTGCTATTTTTTTAAGCTCTCTCTGCCTCCTCCACTAAAGCTCTTGATACTTCAAATTCATATATTCCAATGTTTTTATTCAAGTTTTTAATTAATCCACCTTTTGAACCTCAGGTCTTCCCAACCAAGTCCAATAAACTCTTGAGATATATCTATTGTCTGCAGTTTTGCCATTATTGTCTTGGCCAACATTAAGTACAATTTTGCTAATAGTCTTGTGCTTCTCTTAACTCAAGCTTTATTCCCCAACAAACAAATCCTATTAATGCATTTTTCACTTATTATAATTTTTCTATAATAGTTTTTGATTATAGTGACATGTTCTCTTTTATGCAGTACGAGCTACATGCCTATATGCTTCTATAACACATATGTAACACGTAACACCACACTTAACACCACACTCTCTCTCGGTTCTTATATATCACCACTGTACAACACACTCCTTCACTATATGGTGGTACTCGGCCGCTGGATACCAAACATCTCATATGGTACAATGCTTTCCCTCAGTTATTTGTGTGTTGTCTACTCTGATTATACCTGTGACTTTCCTTCTCTACCGTGATTATAGGAGTGATTTTTCCTCTTCTCCATGATTATATAAGTAAATACACTATCCTCTCCTTCCATAATTATAGTACTTTTCCTCTCGTACTGTGATTATAGCAGTACCTTTCCTCTCGTACTGTGATTATAGCAGTAGTTTTCCTCTCCTACTATGACTATGAAAGCTAAGTACAGTATAATACAGTATATCCTTTATCCCTCTCTCACTGTAACAACTTAAGCTCTACTATAAATATGTTTCCTTCTTAGAGACTTCAATACACTGGTAACTTAGTTTGGCCCTTGTTGCTGCTGGCTTCAGGGATCCAGATTCACAAAGATTCTATCCACTGTTTGTGTCTAAATGTATATACCTAGTTTATGTACAGGCTTAAGGTAATTTTGATGCCTTTGTTGTGTTTATAATTTCTACGTTTTAGTTTAAGTTTGCCAAATAATTCTTTCTCTCTCTCTCTCTCTCTCTCTCTCTCTCTCTGTCTCTCTCTCTCTCTCTCTCTCTCTCTCTCTTTCTTTCTTTCTTTCTTTCCAATATAATAATTCTTCTTAGACATTGAGACACACTTCATAGTTCCATCACTAACCACGTTCTCTGCTTGCCTCTCTGGACATTATCTATAGTGACACACAGGACTGGGTCATTGCTTAGTTCCAATATCCTTATTTACTTTCGTCTCCTCATGAAGTTTTTTCATTCCCATAGAACTTTTGTATCCCCTTGAAACTCTCTCGTTTTATATGGAACTTTTACATTCCTTGAAATTGTTCCTTTTTTATATAGAACTTTTACATTATCTTGAAACTTTTTTCCTCTGCAAAGTTTTTATTCCCACGAGGGGCTGTCATATCCTCAGGCCACTACTGCATTACCATGAAGCTCCCACCTCACCACCAAGCTATCATACTTCAGTGCCACATACTAGGGTATAACTCCGGCACTGCGCACTATCTTGCTGACTGAGTATTTCCACTGTAATAATCCCCTACTGACTTTGATACCCCCCCCACTTACATATATCTTCACTCACCTGTGTGTATAATTATAGAATCCAAGAGTTGTAACCAGGTATCACAGTTGTGTTAGCATAGGAGAAAGTTGAGTAATTATAATCCATTCACCGAAAAACTGGAATATGTGCTTTCTAATGTAGTTAACTTGTGTTCACTCTGTCACCATCACCCTGTCGTGACTGATCCACCCGACGGAATATTGATGAAAGCACATTGCATGGGATGGATTGCATGGATGTGCATGATTTGTCTTACCTACTGTATGTGAGTGTTAGAAATGACACTCTTATATTAATTAAGGTCGATGAAGTTATTGATAATTGCAACTTGTCACACACACATGCACCTGTATAATATATTACAGTATCATGTATCAGGATAGTTGTTGGACACATGTTTATGATACTGGCCTTAAGAATACTTGAGAAAGATGTATGTATGTATATATTGCCTGTATGTATGTTTTGTGTATGTATGTATGTATATATTGCCTGTATGTATGTATGTATGTATATCTTGCCTGTATGTATGTATTGTGTATGTATGTATGTATATATTGCCTGTATGTATGTATTGTGTATGTATGTATGTATATATTGCCTGTATGTATGTATGTATGTATATCTTGCCAGTATGTATTATGTATGATTTATAGACCTCTGAGACAGGATATTCATGCCTTTCAAATTAATGCAAAGAATTGTAAGTATTTTCTGATATGGAGTGAGTTAATTATTGAAGTGTGCCAAAGTTTAACATATATTACATTAGTTTCCTTAATCTACAATTATTCAGTCTATATTAATGTTCGGCCTCCATCTTGCCAGTCTCTCTAATGTACCAACCCAAATTTAACTGAACTAACTATCAATCCCATTCACATTACTACATTTAATTACTTTACATGATGAGAACTAAGGCGGCATCTTCCGCTATGAACAGAGGGATTGGTTGTAGTGTTTGGGTCAAGTAATAGTATCTTGAAATAGTTATAACCCTATTGTGGTAAGTAACATCCTGCCACCTGTTTTATATAGGGGAGTATTTAGTTGGTTTATGTTAGTTTACGTTGGTTTATGTTAGTTTACGTTGGTTTATGTTGGCTTACGTTGGTTTATGTTGGTTTATGTTAGTTTACATTGGTTTATGTTAGTTTACGTTGGTTTATGTTAGTTTATGTTGGTTTAGGTTAGTTTACGTTGGTTTATGTTAGTTTATGTTGGTTTAGGTTAGTTTACGTTGGTTTATGTTAGTTTACATTGGTTTAGGTTAGTTTACGTTGGTTTTGGTTTAGGTTAGTTTACGTTGGTTTATGTTAGTTTACATGTTAGTTTACGTTGGTTTATGTTAGTTTACGTTGGTTTATGTTAGTTTACATTGGTTTAGGTTAGTTTACGTTGGTTTATGTTAGTTTACGTTGGTTTATGTTAGTTTACATTGGTTTATGTTAGTTTACGTTGGTTTAGGTTAGTTTACGTTGGTTTATGTTAGTTTACGTTGGTTTATGTTGGTTTACGTTGGTTTATGTTAGTTTACGTTGGTTTATGTTAGTTTATGTTGGTTTATGTTAGTTTACGTTGGTTTAGGTTAGTTTACGTTGGTTTATGTTAGTTTACGTTGGTTTATGTTAGTTTACATTGGTTTATGTTAGTTTACGTTGATTTAGGTTAGTTTACGTTGGTTTATGTTAGTTATTTGGTGTTAGTTTACGTTGGTTGGTTTATGTTGGTTTACGTTGGTTTATGTTGGTTTACGTTGGTTTATGTTAGTTTACGTTGGTTTATGTTGGTTTGGTTGGTTTATGTTTAGTTTACATTGGTTTTACGTTTGGTTTATGTTAGTTTACGTTGGTTTATGTTAGTTTACGTTGGTTTATGTTAGTTTACGTTGATTTTTGGTTAGTTTACGTTGGTTTATGTTGGTTTATGTTGGTTTACGTTGGTTTATGTTAGTTTACGTTGGTTTATGTTAGTTTACGTTGGTTTAGGTTAGTTTATGTTGGTTTAGGTTAGTTTACGTTGGTTTATGTTGGTTTATGTTGGTTTAGGTTGGTTTACGTTGGTTTATGTTGGTTACGTTGGTTTATGTTAGTTTACGTTGGTTTATGTTAGTTTATGTTGGTTTATGTTGGTTTACGTTGGTTTACGTTGGTTTATGTTAGTTTATGTTGGTTTAGGTTGGTTTATGTTGGTTTACGTTGGTTTTATGTTAGTTTACGTTGGTTTATGTTAGTTTATGTTGGTTTATGTTAGTTCACGTTGGTTTATGTTAGTTTACGTTGGTTTATGTTAGTTTACGTTGGTTTATGTTAGTTTACGTTGGTTTATGTTAGTTTATGTTGGTTTGGGTTAGTTTACGTTGGTTTATGTTAGTTTACGTTGATTTAGGTTAGTTTACGTTGGTTTATGTTAGTTTATGTTGGTTTATGTTAGGATTTTAACTATGGATCAACCCACTATAGTACTTCAGTCATCAGAAATCTCAATGAAACTTTGGCCGTCTTGTGATTAATTATGACTTGTGTTCTGAAAATGTTAATCTTCATCTGTCTTTTTCCACTATCCAGTAAGGTGGATTGTAGGTACTGTATTGTAGCACCTGTGATAGTCATTCCTTCCTCGGTTGTTAAAGACCCTCCCTTTCTCACCCTCTCTGGGACATTTACACATTGTTCTTCCATATTATTTTTTATATTTTTCTTGTAGGTGCGGTATATTGTTCTTCTGTTCTCATGTCTCCCAGTGATGACAGACACTCATGAGGATAAGGTAGTGAGGTAATAAGTCTTGATAGTAAAGAAATATTATCAGGTGTGTTTATTTAGCAAGTTTTCTTATCTTGATAGAGGTGCTGTTCTTGGTATGGGTAATCTCTGTCTTAAGGTTAACAGATGAAATGTGTTATTGGATGAATCTTCTTTGGGATTAAGAAAAGTTTTCATCGTAAGAATTGCTCAAGGTATTGGATATTTGGACCCATGTTCTGGAACGGGGTGATAATATCGACAATATATACCTAGATTTTGCCAAGGTTTTCGACAGTGTACCCCATGAAAGGCTGAAAATCAAACTGGAAGGGTACGGAATTCGGGAAAAGTCCTAGCGTGGATAGAAGACTTTCTACATGACTGCAAGTAGTGTGTGGTGGTTAAAGGCAAGAAATCATCATCCGTACCTGTCACAAACTGGGTACCACAGGGCAGTGTATTGGGCCAGCTGTTGTTTGTTTGTTTTATAAATGACATGCCTGACGTTGTACACTCCTCAATACAAATGTTTGCCGATGACGCCAAGCTATTTCGGGAATCCAGAACCAAACAGACTGTGAAGAGCTGCAGAAGGACCTCTGTGAGCTGCAAGAATGGTCGAAGAAATGGCTGCTGAGATTCAATGTCACGAAGTGTAAGAGGATGCACCTGGGGCGTACCAACGGTAAGGAGGCGTATCATATGTCCCAACGGGATGAAGAAAATGCACTAGTTGAGACTGAATGTGTGAAGGACCTAGGTGTGTATGTTGACAATGAGCTGAAGTTCTCGAGCCATTGCGAGAAGAAGGTAAATCAGGCAAATAAATTATTAGGTCTTATAAGAAGGTCGTGCAGATATCTAGACGGTCTGTCCCTCGTAACGATCTTCAAGAGTGAAGTGCTTCCCCATTTGGAGTACTGTCACCCCGTCTGGTTCCCGAGATATGCTAGGGACTGTCAGTTGATTGAAAATGTTCAAAGGAGGGCCACCAGACTGGTGACTGCACTTCGGCACCTCAACTACCCTGAGAGATTGGAGCGCCTGAACTTGCCTAGCTTATACTACAGACGGGCAAGGGGTGACCTAATTGAGGTGTATAAGCATCTCAAGGGGCACTACTCAGTCGAGTGTCCTTACCTGGAGCTGGCGGACGCTCGCCCCACTAGGGGTCACAGCTCAAGGTTGAAGAAGCCACAGGTCCAGAAAACTGTAAGGGTAAACTTTTTCTGAGTGAGGGTTGTAAACTCTTGGAACAATCTACCAGAAAGTGTTGTGACGGCACCGAGTGTGAGCTCTTTCAAGACAAGACTTGACCAACACTAGAGCAGGTTCAGGTACATTCAGGAGCCGGTGCATGCCCAGTACTTGCCAACAGTGTGTAACAGAGACGTGACCGATCGCCCGGGCGGCTAACGAGCCGATCAGTGGCGAAGAGGATAAAAGTAAAAGTAAAAAGTTTATAAATTGTCTTAGTGTTTTTTATTATTTTCTATCCCAAGCAACAGTTATTTTCGTGTATATATTGATGGGAATGAACACGGTGACGAAACGGGTAACGCAGTGGTGACGAAACGGGATGAAAACAGTGGTGACGAAATGGGCATACCTCCAGATGACATAACAACTTCATGTTAGTAGTTTCTGTTGTCTTGGTTCTGTTGTTTAATCTGCCACTGAGACACTCAAGAGGAATGTTTTGGTAATTACTTTTTATTTCTGTACACAGTGCATGGTGGTGGTGTAACCATGCTGTGAGTGTACTGTACTGTATGTGTAATTGTGTATGACTGTTCACAACACACTGGTGGCTGTGGGTGTATTTGTCAGGCCAAGAGAAGATAAATTAATGTTTAGGGGATTGAAATTTGTTAATGACTTTTATGTATGAAGGCATGACTAAATTGTTTGTTGTGCCACATGCTGTGTTGACCTTTGACATGGTATGAATTACTACGTTGTGATATAAGGTCACAAGTTTTATGTTTATTTGACGACATATGTTGATTAACCTCTGGTCTGACAGCATACGTGGGACCTGATGCCTCAAGTAAGTTGACCTTTGACCTGATGCTGAAGGGGAATGTGCTTTTTGTCCAAGTGCCACATAGTTAATGTCGACTTGGAGACGTGGTGCCACCTGCCATCTGGTGGTACATTATGATACTAAACTTAGACTCTCATGTAACTTGTGACTGTCACTCACTATATGTAACTCGCTGACTGTGCCACATGCGTTAACCTGTTCTTATGTTTAACACGGTGCCATGTGTGTTGACCTCTGACCTGGTGCCATGACCCACGTGTGTTGACCTTCCACTGATCCTCCAACAGCCCGGTGAGCAGCTACTATGGTACTTATGACTATGCCTCCACTGGTCAGGGCGCCACTCAGGATGACACTGCTCCCGCCAGAACCTCCTCCAACAACGGCAGAGGGAAGCTCGCCAGAGGTAAGTCCTCCCTACCTGGTGTTGTGTTGGAGTGCAAGTTCACACGCCTCTGAAGGTTGATGTTCTGTTTGTCTTTTATTGTACTGAAGTTTAATGTTTATGTATGACACACTCTAACCCCCCGCAATACACACACACACACACACACACACACACACACACACACACAATCTGTTCTTTGTTATGCACTTCTGTTCCCTGTAGACCCCTTCCACACACCTGTACACCCCTTCCACACACTTGTACACCCCTTCCACACACCTGTACACCCCTTCCACACCTGTACACCCCTTCCACACACCTGTACACCCCTTCCACACACCTGTACACCCCTTCCACACACCTGTACACCCCTTCCACACACCTGTACACCCCTTCCACACACCTGTACACCCCTTCCACACACCTGTACACCCCTTCCACACACCTGTACACCCCTTCTTCACACACCTGTCCACACACCCTTCACACACACACCTGCACACCCACCTTCCACACACCTGTACACCCTTACACCCTTACACCACCTTCACACCTGTGCCCTTCCACACACCACACACCTGTACACCTTCCACACCTTGTACACCCTTCCACACACCTGTACACCCCTTCCACACACACCTGTACCCCTTCCACACACCTGTACACCCCTTCCACACACTTGTACACACCTGTACACCTTCCACACACCTGTGCCCCTTCCACACACCTGTACACCCTTCCACACACTTGTGCACCCCTTCCACACACCTGTACACACCTGTACACCCCTTCCACACACCTGTACACCCCTTCCACACACCTGTACACCTTCCACACACCTGTACCCCTTCCACACACCTGTACACCCTTCCACACACCTGTACACCCCTTCCACACCTGTACACACACACCCCTTCCACACACCTGTACACCCCTTCCACACACTTGTACACCCCTTCCACACACCTGTACACCCCTTCCACACACCTGTACACCCCTTCCACACACCTGTACACCCCTTCCACACACCTGTACACCCCTTCCACACACCTGTACACCCCTTCCACACACCTGTACACCTCTTCCACACCCTCTAATTACCCTACAGACCTACACCTAACACCTCTGAAATCTAGACTCTTTTTTGTCAACAACTCGAATCTTTAAATAGAAAAGAATCTCTAGAACTGTGCATTAGAATACTGTTGGCAGCCTTAGAGAATATTGTGTTAAGACCCTAATATAATCCTGACAGTTCGATGTGTTCACTGTTTAGTAATATTTTTTAAGTAGATTTGTTCTCCCAAATAACCAATAAGTTTCAAGTAATCTTTAGTTATATTTATTACATTTTCCTCCTTATAATATTAGTGAGTCTTTATTTTTATGTTATTGTGTTATTTCTTATAAGTAAGGTCTGTCTTTCACTAAGGCATGATGAGCTCGAGGCTGCATTATTTACCCATTAAATCATGATTCTTATTTCTAATTCAACACTTGTACTGTATTATTCCCAGTGAGTGTTGCAGCTAAGACTAGACTTGATTTGAAGAAAGTACTGCTTACATATCCATCTGTCAATATATATATAAATTTTTTTTATTTTTAGAACTGAAGTTTTACAATAAAGTAATCTGTAATGACCAGAGTTATTTCTTGAAGCTCTTATGAGTCAACAGGTCAGCCTCCTCTCTGAAGTGTCTTGGTATGACATGGAACTGAACTTACAGTATATAACCTTTGTTTTTACTTTTATTTCACACAAAAAGCCAAGCAGCACACGGATGAGGAGGACGGTAAACTAGATAAAATAAATGTCTTTTTTTATATGCTTCTGTATGTTAGTCATTACGTGCTTTATTTGACCCCTGTCTGTTGATGTAAACATATATATAAATCCCAGTTGTGTTATGTGCCTTAGACCCGTGTATAAAGCTACTCGTCCTGCTACTGACTCACTCAACTGTGACTTTGGTGGGTTGGGAAGCTTGCGCACTGTTTTTTTTTTTTTAATTGAGAGAGAAAGATGTATATTTTCAGAAGATAGAAACTTATAAACATTTAAGGGAAGATCTTTAGGTATAGAGAGTAAGATTTGTATAGATCAGTTAGGATTTATTTAAGGAGTCAGTTTAGGAAATTCTATGAATGATTTGTCTCAAGTTCTGAAGATTTTTTTTAGAAGCGAAATTCCATAAATGACAGTGTAAATTTCTAGATGGACTGTGTGTGTGTGTGTGTGTGTGTGTGTGTGTGTGTGTGTGTGTGTGTGTGTATGTAGGGGTGGCATCTGATTGCATATTTGTGTCAGACAGTTCTTATTACCTCACTTATAGGTAGTTAAGAGAAGATCTTTATTACCTAACTCCTTAGCATCATAAGTGTTGTGATTATGGCTGTCATTGGCTCTTCCAAATATTAAATGTTTATATTAATGTTATATTTTTGATAATGCTTCACTATTTGGTCATCATACTTGTTAGGCATGATTATCTTTAACTACCTAATCACCCTTCACGAACTAAAACACTGGGACTTATTATCTGGGGGTGAGTTTAGGTCAGGTTAAGCCTTATTTTATTTTACAGAGGCAACATAGGATACCAGATTGATATAGGTTGATGGTGTGAGAAGATTATGACTGGAGATACCGGGATGTGGTGTGTGTGGTGTGTGGTATAGTGCTTTAGTTCTGTATAGTGTAATGGTGCCTTAGATTGTCTGGTTATATTGTCAGAAGATTAATGTACACTCCAGGATATTAATTATTTGTTTTATAGTTTGTTAGTGTTATATTTTTTCTCATACATCAAAAATTATGAGGAAAAGTTTAGTTTTGAGAGTTATATTTGCTTATTATTGTACCTCTGACTGTGAGAAGTCTTAGAGGTGAACAGTCATCCCAATATCCAGTTAATTAAGCTGACAAAATGACTGTGATTGACTGGTGAACTGACTTTATCTATGTAGAAACTCAAAATTAAATTAGCGAATATTTAGATATTGATAATTCTTGGTATTTTGACATCCAATGTAACTGTCACTTTAATAATCGATTTAATTCATGTATGATTAATTATTTTTCTTAAGTATTCCCTGTATGATTAGTACAGTAGTATGATTTAGGATGATCAGTGTAGTAATCCTGGATGATGATACATTTTTGGTCTGTTATTGGAGGAGAGGGATTCATGTGTACTGAGTAATTGCTTGTAGAATACCTGTGTGTCCGCCCATAGTGGGAGCGAGTGTATGGAGTGTCTTGCTTTCTGGTGTCCAAAATTGTACTCGTTTTCTTTTCTTTATTCTCTTATCACCTTTCTTCTTTTCTCTCTCTCTCTCCTCATTTCGTTCATGTCTTCTATTCTTTATTTCTTATTCCTCTTTCTTCATCTTTCTCTATTTCCCATCTCATCTCTTCTCTTTCTTCCCCCCTTTCTCCTCCTTTCTCTCTCTCGCTCTTGTTTCTAAGCTTCGTTACCTACCTGGTGTGTCAGGAGAGGTGTGCATGGAGAGGTCTTGAGTGTGAAGTAGGCTATACATTCAGTAGGTATAAGTAATGAGTATATCAACAGCTTGTATACTCGTGGTACAGTCAGGAGTAAACAACTGTACCTAAAATTCGTAACGTGTAAAATTACGCAAGTTAAAAAAATCGGAACGCTTAATCCTTTATATACGCGCAAGCTTTTTCCCTGAGTATATCTGTTTCTATGTAATTCATCCCCAAAAAATAATAATTAAAAAAACTGGACCCTTTTTGACAATTTAAAACTCCCTTGTCAGATAAAATAACCTATTTCTCATTTGATCGGTAGGAATGTGTCACCACTAATAGTATTACCTGAGACGCCACCAGCTGACTGTATCATTAGACAGGTGACACAGGTGGAGTTCTAGATGATTCTGACATGGTTGTAAACTTTGAGACATTTGGGATATATTGTATGTACTCAGGTTGCAGCAGCTTAGACTTATCTAATGGTGTTACCAGACATAGTTACAGCAGTAGACATAGTTAGACATGACAGTAACAGTAGACACACTTGACATGACACACTTAGACATGACAGTAACAGAAGACACACTTGACATGACAGTAACAGTAGATACACTTGACATGACACACTTAACATGACAGCAACAGAAGACACACTTAACATGACAGCAACAGAAGACACACTTGACATGACACACTTAACATGACACACTTGACATGACACACTTAGACATGACAGCAACAGAAGACACACTTAACATGACAGCAACAGAAGACACACTTAACATGACAATAACAGTAGACACACTTGACATGACACATTTAGACATGACAGCAACAGAAGACACACATAACATGACTATTGTACTGTGATAGGTATGTCCTTCATCTCAGCAGAAGTGAACTATCATTGTGTCACCTTATTGCAGGGACCACGCGTCGGCCAAGCCTTGAGAGACAAACAACTCTGTACGATGATCAGGGAGGAGGCACGAGAGGGGACGGGACCAGTCGAGAAAACAGGTACTCTAACTACCATAGCTACTATCACCAATACTCCTCCAGCCAGGAAGAAACCAGGTACGTTGAATGGCCTGCAGTAACTACTTCCCGTCATGATGAAGGCACTGGCTGGTCAGGAAGGTCGTGGATTTTTTTTCGTTCATTTTTTTTTTTTAATTTTCTCGAAGATTATTTTGTTCTAAAGGTTTGATCAGGATTTTTTTGGTGGGTTTTATCCTGAAACTCGATTTATGGATTTTTATTTTATTTTTTTCTTGCTGTTGTATATTTTTGAGGTTAAACACATATTACCTCCCTGGCCACCCAGTCCCCATCACTTGACCACTCGAGGCCAACACCTCCCGCCCACAAAGCCGCATGCTGCCCATCTGTTGGTCCGCCCACAGCCCTGCGCCTGCCCGCCCGCCCGCCCCCTGCAGCCCATATGTCTCTCCTTCGGCCCCATCATGGCCATGTGTCCGTGGACCGTCGTCTTCATGTGTACTTCTCTGCTCAGTCTCCTCCTGCTGACTGACTCCTCTGGCTCTCTGCTGGTCTCACCTGCTGTTTCTCTTCTGCTGCTGCTGCTGCTGCTGTGTCATAAGGGACCACATCACGAGAGGAGCTGCACCAGGGACAGACCAGCCCACTCATACGTCAGTCGCTCCTCAACCTCAGGCCAACTCTCATTAGTCCTCTTAGTTGTGTTTCTCTTGGAGTAAATAATATTGTGGGTGAGGCAAAGTAAATATATATATACAAAGAAAAACATGGAATAATGAAAAGTAGATTAACGTCAGGTGACAGACCTACCTGTTCGTTGGAAGCGTAAGTTGGATATCACTCCTCATGTAGGACTCAGTTTCTTATGAAGTATCCCAGTGACTTAATACTTTACGTAGAATATATCAAGAGAAACTACCCATGACACTTCTCCCATAGATTAGATCAACATACAACTCCAGAGTATTTCTTGATGGTGTTGTGTTAATAATCAAGACACTGATATCTCTCGTTCCTGCCTTAACTACATCCTAATGCCAACCATCATATATAAGATTTTATTAAACACATCTTAATAGTTTTGCTGTTACTGACTGTCACACGTATTAACCTCTAGTGACATAAACAGCAACAATGTGGATGTTGAAATGTGAGCAAGGGAGATAACTTAAGATGGAAATATAATCTTTAACATGACTTTCATTAATGTTGATATATTTACTTATAAGAGAAGATGACTTTGAATTTCTTCTTCTCATTTACACTGTTGTGGAATTTAAGTGTCTTATGCCTGTGATCCTCCGTTGTTTATTTCCCTTGGGTACAGAAACACCTTTAGTGAGTTAAGTGTCATGTTGGAGCAGTAGAGAGACTCCATCATCACCCTCTCATGTTACGAGGCCCCAGTAGGTCCTGGTCACTCTCAACAAATATCAAGTGAAGCTGTTTTATGGCCTCTTGATATAATTTCCTTGATTGTGAAATACTTTGAAGCATCATAATAATAGAGAGCTTTTATTACCCTCCCACCACCACCACCCTTTAGTTCATAGGCACCACATTCTGACTCCAGTGAGCTTACCTTGGTCGTCCCACTATATCAGAGCTGCACTCACTCTCTCTCGTCTCCTAGAAAGCTTTTTCTAAGATAGTTTGCGCACTGATAACTATTGCAAGTAACCATTTTAATGTTTGAAAATGATTACTCGTTATGTCTATTTATACCTTGAAGAATTCTCATTACTTAAAGCTTCTGTTTTGTTCAGATAAATTTTACATTGTGTTCTTGGGAATGGACTAATTCTCGGACTGGGACCCGAAACCTAATCTGTCCCACCCTTAACCTAACATAACCTAACCTAACCATCTCCACTCCGACCTAACCTAATTTAACCTACTCTTCTCCACCCTGGCTTAACTTAGATTAACCCACCTTAACCTAATGCAAGTTAACCCAAACTTAACTGAACCTAATGCAATTTACCCTTAAACCTAAGTTAACCTAATCTAACTTAACCTACTCTTCTCCACCCATAACATAAATTAACCTAATTAACTTAATGTAACCTACTCCACTCTACCCCAAACTTAACTTAACCAACCATTACCTTCACTAATCATAACTTAACCCTACCCCAACCACACCTCAACTTAAAATGACCTACCTGACTTCATTCCTGATCTGCCCTAACCTACCTTACCCTCCCCTATTCCCTCCCTGCCCCTAACTCCCACCCCATCTCTAACCCTTCCACCCCACTTACCCTACCTCCTAATCCTACTTCCCTAATCCCATCTACCTGACCCTATAACCACCTTACCCCTACTCCCTACCCCATCCCTAATACCCACCTTAATCCCCACTCCCCCCTAACTCACTTACCCTACCCCTAACCTACCTTACTTTACCCGGACCTCCCCCAGCCTCACTCCCTACCTAACCTTACCCACCCCTAACCCCTCTTTACTCCCTACCCCTAACTCCACCTTAACCTACTGAATCCTACAATATTACCCGACCCTGGAAAAATGAGGGTCTATGGTACCCTACTGCCTGTGTACTGGTGGGTCAGTGTATTGGTGGTGTTGGGGTGTATGGTGGTGGGTCAGTGTATGGTGGTGTCAGTGTATGCTGGTGGTGGTTCAGTGTATGGTGGTGTCATCACCCCTAATCCCAGTGTATGGTGGTGGGTCAGTGTATGTGGTGGTGTCAGTGTATGGTGGTGGGTCAGTGTATGGTGGTGGTGTTGTGTATGGTGGTGGGTCATGGTGGTGGTGTCAGTGTATGGTGTGTGTGGGCTGTATGGTGGTGGGGTCTAACCTAATCCCAGTGTATGGTGGTGGTGTCAGTGTATGGTGGTGTCAGTGTGGTGGTGGTGAACTGGTGTGTAGTGGGAAATGAGTATGGTGCAGGTGTCAAAGCGGTGGTGGGGTGGTGGTGTATGTGTGGTGTGCCAGTGGTGTGGTGGGTGGGTCAGTGCATGTATGGTGGTGGTGTCAGTGTATGGTGGTGGTGTCCAGTATGGTGGTGGTGTCAGTGTATGGTGGTGGTGTTGTGGTGGTGTCAGTGTATGGTGTCATGTATGGTAGGTGCAGTGTATGGTGGTGGGTCAGTGTATGGTGGTGGGGTGGTGGTGTCAGTGTGTATGGTGGTGGGTCAGTGTATGGTGTCAGTGTATGTGCTGTGTGCAGTGTATGGTGGTGTCAGTGTGTGGTGGTGGTGGTGGTGGGTGCTGGAAGTGTATGGTGGTGGTGTCAGTGTATGGTGGTGGTGTCAGTGTATGGTGGTGTCAGTGTATGGTGGTGGTGTCAGTGCATGGTGGTGGTGTCAATGGTGGTGGGTCAGTGTGGTGTGCTGTGTGTATGGTGGTGGTGTCAGTGTATGGTGGTGGTGTCAGTGTGGGTGGTGGTGTCAGTGTATGGTGGTGTCAGTGTATGGTGGTGGTGTCATGGTGGTGGTGTCAGTGTATGGTGGTGTCAGTGTCAGGTGTAGTGTATGGTGGTGGTGTCAGTGTATGGTGGAGGTGTTGTGTATGCATGGTGGTGTCAGTGTATGGTGGTGTGTCAGGTGTATGGTGGTGCTGGTATGGTGGAGGTGTCAGTGTATGGTGGTGTCCAGTATGTGGTGGTGGTGTCAGCATGTATGGTGGTGGTATGGTGGTGGGGCCAGTGCATGGTGGTGCTGTGTGCATGGTAGGTGGTGGTCAGTGTGTATGGTGGTGGTGTCAGTGTATGGTGGTGGTGTCAGTGTATGGTGGTGGTGTGTCAGTGTATGGTGGTGGTCAGTGTGTATGGTGGTGGTGTCAGTGTATGGTGGTGGTGTCAGTGTATGGTGGTGTCAGTGTAGTGTATGGTGGTGGTGTCAGTGTATGGTGGTGTCAGTGTATGGTGTCAGGCATGGTGTCAGTGTATGGTGGTGGTGCTGTGTGTATGGTGGTGGGTGGTGTGGTGTCAGTGTATGGTGGTGTCAGTGTATGGTGGTGGTGTCAGTGTATGGTGTACAGGCCAGTGGTGGTGTCAGTGTCGTGCATGGTGGTGTCAGTGTATGGTGGTGGTGCTGTATGGTGGTGGTGTGTCAGTGCATGGTGGTGGTGTCAGTGTATGGTGGTGGTGTCAGTGTATGGTGGTGGTGTCAGTGTATGGTGGTGGTGTCAGTGTATGGTGGTGGTGTCAGTGTATGGTGGTGGTGTCAGTGTATGGTGGGTGTCAGTGTATGGTGGTGGTGTATGGTGGTGGTGTCAGTGTATGGTGGAGGTGTCAGTGTATGGTGGTGGTATCAGTGTGTGGCTGTAATGTATATCCTTGACCCATACATTTACTCGCATACTGAACAACCTTTCTTATTTATATACTTTGATAACAACATTTTTAACCTTGATATCAATATTTAAAAGCCTTGATATCAACATTTGAAAGCTTCAGTAACAGTATGTAAATTCTTGTTATCATCATCAGTAAACTTTGGTGCGTTGTATACAGTATTTGTCAACCATGTGGTAAACAGCTACAGGCCAGTGAGGTGTTGGATCTGTTAAGTTGAGAGAGAGAGAGAGAGAGAGAGAGAGAGAGAGAGAGAGAGAGAGAGAGAGAGAGAGAGAGAGAGAGAGAGAGAGAGAGAGAGAGAGAGAGAGAGAGAGAGAGAGAGAGAAAATGGAAAAACTAACTTGAAAATATTTAAGAAGAGGATTGAAAAGATAGAGAGATAAAAGAAAGAATGAGAGATAATATAAAGAAGGAGAGATTAATAGTGAAATAGAGAAGTCTACTTACAATTAAATTTCTCAGGTTATCTTAGACAGTTTCCACCTGGAGTTAATTTCACTTCCCTCATAATTATTTTTTTTGTTCTCCCAGCCTAAGTAGAGGGATATATACTTAATGATGTGTTTGTCCGTCTGTAATTATGAGTGACTTACAATCAGAAGTTAAGTACCATAATCACACATAGATATAACCATCTCGAGAATTTTAGTGCAGTATCTTGCCACTTGGTGTAACTCGGGTATATGAATGGGCGACGCTTTAGTGTCATTGTGGTTTGATCTGTTATGTTTCTTGACAGTTTTATATATCCCATTATTCTGTGATTAATTACAGGTGATAGAAAGTGTCATGTCCAGGTAATTCATCTCTAGATCGTTAATGAGGACTTGTTAGTGTTCCGTAGATTCACGTGTAGGTTTTATTTCCCTCAATAATTTACATGATAATTGTTTGGTTGTTATTGAGATAATTTTCGTATCTTTTTCAAGGTTATTTTTACCTATGGACATGTTTGAGTAGTGGTTGATTGTATATATAGGTGGATACAGTATATATTTTTCTATCTATATCCACATCTTACAGTGTTACTCCTATATCTAATTGAATATGTGGATGTTGCTGCCTAGAACTTCCCCTTTGATTCATTTACTTTAGTTGTGAATAGAATAACAACACGTGATTTTTTTTGAAGTATTTGCTGCTACTGAGATTATTGCCTGGGGATATTAGGTTAGAATTGTTTTGTTTTTTTATCTATGACCACACGTTTAGGAGGATGTCTTATGCGTCGAATTTGACTGATATTCGACAACTGTATCATAGACTCAAGTGTATTTTGGTTCAGTCTTATTTGGGGATCTTCGTCATGACTCTAGCCTAAGTAATTAAACAAACAAAGTCACTTTCAGCAGTTTGGCACGACGTAGTTGATCCATTGACTCTCACTGGGTTGATTATTAGGCAAAGAATTGAACAAAATCTTGAGTGAAATTATATGTAAGTTTCTATGAGTTTACGTCTGGGCCCCAACGTATGGTAATTTCTTTTAATATCTCATTTGTATAATAAGAGTTTTTCCACTACTTGGTGTCTTGGTCCTACTGTTCCCTTGGGTTGTGTCCTTCATATCCACAGATCCAGATAGAAAAATCCCCTAGAATATTCCATTGATGGTTTTTGTCCCAGCCTCCCTTGTTGATCTAGATATTATACCGCGTCTTGATGTACTTCCCTGTGATAAGCTTCAGCTATTTTTACCAAAGTTGTATTTTTGTCCCATTTTCTGAGTCCTTCAATCAGATGAGGTCCTTTGTTTATTTTGGTTGTTATATTTCTACCTTAACCTTTGGAAGTCATTTTGTCCCTCTTTTGGTTCCATGTAAACCTATTCTGGGCATTATGGTCCCATTTCCCTTGACCGTACCTTTTTGTGAGCTGTTTTTGTGTGCCCACGTGGGGACAGTGCTCACTAACCCATGGCCACCTATGTTCATCTCTTAGGGTACTACACCCCTCTTCTTCCCTGTTGTTATTAGGTGCTGATCACCCTCTTCCTTTCCACAAAGGCTTGTGTGGAACCCTCTCTATGTCCCATGTGGGTGCCATATGCACTACTCTTCTCCCACATCTTTTGTAAATGATTTGCTCCACCTTTCTCCTCCCTGACACTCACCTCCATCTCCCTGGTTGGTGCCTCGCCCCCACTCTCTGTCCCGTGTTGGTGCCGCGTTTTCCCTCTAGCTTCGCACATGTAGCCTTGTGACCAGCACTGTGGCTGTCCCCAGGCACCGTTACCCAAGAGCACCAGCAGGCGCCTTGTGTAGTTGTAGCATTACTCCCAGTAGCGTAGACACGGGACAGGCTGCCTGTATAAACTCCATAGCGTCTTAATTCACTTATTAAATTGCTGCTTATAGCTTTAAATTTTAACCTCTAACCTGTAGCTTGATACTAATGGATTATTATTAAATAATCATAAGTGATATATATTTTATTAGGATATACAAACTCTTCCACTTGATAAACACTTCTCCTCCTCTGCTTTAGTGCTACAGGAAGTAAAATATTGTTTAGCAAGACAACAGAGACAAGATGGTCAGTGCGAGTGACCATCACACTGGAGCACACTTCTCACCCCTAAAGTAAAATTAAATTGTCTTAGAAACCAAGTGAGTCATATTTTGGTATGGCTGCTGCACCTTACATGTGGTTAGTTAATACCACAGGTACAGTAGTGAAGATATTGAGGCCTCGTTCATCTATTATCTGACATGATAAACATAGAAAAGAAAATGACTGTGTTGATGGCAGGTAAAGGTTCAGTTGATTATACTGTACACCCTTACACACATCTCACTGATAAACCTCTAAATATTTCATGATATGTAAATATAAGCATATACTGTATGTGTGATTTTCCATGCAATTTTTTTGTTACTATCTCTGCATGTACAACTCTAAAACCTGCACAGCATCAGCAGATATGTTACACTGACCTGATAAGATCCTGATAAAGTAACACAGACAAACTACAGCCATTGAACAAAGCTTCTAGCCTCATTATGTACCATTAATATTCTGAAGGCCATCTTTATAGGTCAAACATGACTCTTGTTTGAAAAGTGTGAACCTGACTTGAAGATTCAGTTCCCCAAAATATATTTAATTTACTCTTTATCAAATGAGATTCTATTGTGCTCATGTATATATACTGTATATATATTATGTTGACTATTATTATACAGTGTGAGAGAGAATGTAAATCATCTTGGAAAACTTAATAGTCCATTGTTAAATCATCATAATAAAATAATAGTTCTTTTATGTCCTTGTCGCCATTGTCTAGAGTGAATGTGTTGAGACTATGGTCTGTACTGTATATCCCACCTTGCTTCAGCTTTACTTAAACATGTAATTTAAGAAGTAATGAGTTGATGTAGAGAGTAAAAAAAAAAGTATATTAGATAAGAAATAATTATTGGTATTTTTTATATACAGTATTTATTTCCACAGGTCTAAAATAAAATTGATGAATATTTTATATGTGAGAGAGGATATTATATGTAATGTAATGTGTAATGGTTATGTAGGTTAGGTGTGTGTGTGTGTGTGTATGTGTGTGTGTGTGTGTAGTCATGAGGTTTCCATATCAACATATCAGTCTAAGTCTGACATCTGGCAATAGAGTAATTAGTAGTAATAATTGAGCTTTAGTCAATATTGTAGTTGCCTCTTAGTCGCATGTCATAATTAATCAGATGTCAGTCTTGATCAGATATCCAGGAGAGTGTGTTGCCATTAGTCACATGTCTTGTCAAGTCACATGTTTGGCTGTGTCTGGCGTGTAACTGATGTATGCTTGTGTCAGGTGTTTAGTCACATATTAGATTTACTCTTTGGCCTTAGTTTGGTTGTGAGTTTAGTCAGATTTACAGTGTTATTCTGATGTCTAGGATAGCCATATCTGGTACATTGACACGTCCAGCTTTTGAAACCCCAGCTTAGTTTAGTGTCTTGCTTAGCCATAATAACCAGTGTAGCCATATGTCTTACAAGCTATCATGATTAGATGCAAGATTTATTTTGCTATTTTAATTGATGGCTAATGTAGATGGCTGATATGTTTACTTAGACAAGATTTCACTCATATATTAGACCTGGTAAATAAATGCCAGGCTTTAGCGAGATATCTGAGTTAATGTTACTTGTTGATACATTGCTTCTTCTTCATATTTTAACTCAGACATAGAGGTGTTCTAGCTATCTAATTCAGGTCAAACATAATTTTGATCTGATTAAAAACTGAATTTGTAGTGAATTATTTTTCTTCTCTTCATGGTATAACGTTTCTGTTTACGGAGTGAGTGTGCTAATTACTACATAGATTTAATTCATATATGACACAGGTGTAAAATATTCCTTAGTACGATCACATGAAGATTAGCACCCATAGTTTATTTCACCTTAAGATTAATCAACCTGTGTTTTAGTTAACTTTATTGATGGTCAGATGTCATGCTAAGACTGATAGCTTATGTTTAAAACAATTGTGGGTATTATGTGAGGTTGAATATGATTAATAGTTTTATGTCAGTAAACTCACAGACTGTCTTATTGTTATCATTGTTTTGGCATCTATAATTTGTATAGTAAAATTGTATTACGGTAATAATTGTATTCTCTCTCTCGGCTTACAGCTGTACATTGACAACCTCTATCAGATAATGTCTTTTAACCACATTATAGAGTCAGTTTTATACACCAAACTAGAGGTAAGATGATAGATTTATTTTCTAGGGGTATTAACATGGCATCCCATTCCTACAGCGCACCAACGGCCGAGGGTGAATACGGGTATGAGGAAAAGACGCCCAAGGACGAACAGGCGGACCTCGGGTACCAGAACGATCAGGAAGCGACGTGGTATGACAAAGACAGGACAGAAGGTTACTATGGTGAATATGGGAAAGAGTGTAGCAAAGATGAGGGTTACCAGAATGACAAGAATGATGATGGTTATGCCGGGGAGCAGTATGATACGTATGGCTATGATCAGTATGGGCAATATGAACAATATGACCAGTATTACGGGTATGGTAAGTCGGGAGAAATTTACGATTATAGCCAGTACGGTTACTATGGGGAAGATGGAGGGACCTACTATCAGAATTATGATGGGTACTATGGGTATTATGATGAGGCTGGTGTCTTTCACAATTATAATGAAAATTACAATTATGCCTACCGGAGCAATGAGCATTTGGACTCCTCGGCGGAAGTGCAGGGTGACGGTAGTAAAGTGACAGATGCTTCCAAGATGATCACTGCTCCCTCCAGCCTCGCCTCAGCATACACCACCACCACCTCAGCCATCACCACTACCAAAGCCCTCAGTTCGGTGCTCACCACAACCACATCCTCCTCCACCACCACAAAGCCTTTGGGTAACCACGTAGCGCCCACACAAACCACGCAGCATAAGTCTGACGGCGGCCTGTTTAACAAGTTACTTCCTCAACTTCCTATCTCCCTTCCATCCACCCTGACCACCACCACCATTGCTGCCACCATCACTGCCACCACCACCACCGTCACCACCACACAGTCCAGCCGCCCGTTCATGCAGTCAACCGTTCCACTCTCAGCACAACAAACAGCTCAGCAGCGGGCAGCTCAGCAGCGGGCAGCTCAGCAAAAAAAACAACAACAATCTAAGCCTGCCAGTGGTGGGTTTGGACTTTTCAGTATGAATAAGAAAGGTGGCCTTTTTAATGCCATGTCTGGCATAACGTCCAAGGTGAGTGATACTCTCAACACGGCTGTTAAAGAAGTCTCTGCAACAGCTGCTGCAGCTGCCCAACAAGCTAATGTTGCAGCTCATCAGACAACTAAAGCAGCTACAGCTAAAGCAACTGCAGCAGCAAAGAGTGCAGGTGTTGTGGGACCCCATCCAGCAGCTGCAGCAGCCCAGAAAGCTGCCACACCTCAGACTGTGAAGCCCCCAATATCAGGATCAAGGGTGACCTTAACCAAACAGGAGAGCGTCAGAAGTGATAAGATGCCCGGAGACGAGGCAGAGAGACGCTCTCTAGCCACACTACCTGAAACCTCTGATCTTACCTACCAAACAGATTCTCTTGAACAGGTGAGATAACTTATCCTGCCCTTCACTTATTGTTTATATTTAGCAATACGCAGCTAGACCTTTATATAGTATAAGTATGTGCTTCAGCAGAAAGAAAATACTGTAACAATTTATATCTTTTTTTAAATTCCCAGAGTTTATATCAGTCTTGAATACAGCATAGAGTCTTAACAGTGTTGTTTTAAGTTCGGTAGCCATAGTAAATTATAAAACAAAGCTGAGGATTATACTGTACTGTCAGATTTATAAGCTAAATGTTTCTTCATATCCAGAACCCTTGTTTTGACCTGTTAGTCTAGATTAAAAGAGGTTATTTTTTTTTACAGAATTTACATACATTAATGGATACATTATTGTTTGTCATCCACCTGTAATTTGTATTTTCATCATTTTGTACATTTCCTATCTGCCAGCTAGCTAGACTTACCTAACACTGTGCACCATGAGTCAACCCAGGGCATCTGTCACCTGGGCCTGACATCAGTGTAGAGCTATGGTCCTCGAGTTAACTTACTGTGGGAATATCTTATACCATATCATGATTATTATATTAATCAGTTAATTTAGTGATCAAGACTAATTTATTGTTGGTTAGTATGAGTGGGTAGGAGTCCAGTGGGGCATTATGTAAGTAGACAAAGAACAGTGTAATTAGATCTACTTTGTTTACATAATTTTATGTTGAGTGGCTGTTATTTTATATTAAATAAGTGTACACATGATGTCTGATTAAGTGTGTAATAAATGTGGAACACACTGAGTGAGCTGAACTTGTGAAGACCTATTGGGGGCTGGAAGAGATGAAGACATGACTTTGTGGAGTGTTCATTACTATGCTGTGTGATATTAAACTCTTGCAACAGTGGTGGTGTTGGCATTTTGAGTGAATTTTACCAATGTAAGTTTAACAAACTATTAATACAAACTAAGTACAATAATTGCCTGGAGAGCCAGCACAGTTGTTGGCGTGTTTATGACACAGCATTGTCATATATACTGTACAGTTGTGAACAAAAGTCCTGATGACCTCTCTTGCTGAACCATGAACCCCGATGTTCAGATTCATGAATCCAAAGTAGCCATGGACAGAATAATACACGAGTGTCAACCGCTTCAGGTTTACGAGTCTGAATCTTGGGGTTCGTGGAACATAGGAGTGGCGACAGGACTTTTGTGGATGACTATACTGTACATCATTCTTTGAACCTCCTCAGTCAGAGTTCACAAGTCACTAATTGATTTGGGCTCTCACATTCCCCATGCTGAGTAAAGTCATTAGATTTGTTAGAATGACACCTTCATCTCTCACCATATAACACAACTCCAGAACATTCAGTGTGAAAATGATTCAGGAGACCAAAACTGTCTGAGGTAGAGGGCATCAGTCAACACCCTGCACTGTGAGACTTGCCTTATATATCACCAAGGGTTACATACACCTGGTTACTGTATGTTAGGCTGGGTTATTTTGTTAAGTGTTTTTATTCTGTGGAATATACAATAATGTTTACTTTACATGCCTCTACCAGAGAATGAATTCAATAATCACCATTTCTAATTTTAACACAGATTTTGTGGTTGGTTAGTTGTCCTCTTTCACTGATAATCTAGTTGGTCAATAGATAGTTTCCATGGACTTCTGAAAGCCCCCCCCCCCCCCCCCAACCTCCATTGACCAAGTTTGAACCCTTAATGAACTATCAATGTACTGTATATACGTAGTCATAAGTGTTTGGATGCCCTCAGGTGTAGTTAAGTTTATTTCAAACTATCTTATGAGTTTTGAAATGAACCTGACCTTGAAGTGAACTTAACCTATCCTGAGGAGTTCCCTCTATTTAAGGCTTTTGATCTTCTCAGATTACTTCACTGAGCATCACTAATGCTTTCTGAACTTTTCTGACTGAATTTAACTTTAATCTTCTGAAATGCCCTAGACCCTGCAGAAGGCTCACTTGAGCTTTTGTAGACTCTAGTTGGGGTCTGGCTAACCTCCTGAAGTGTCCTGGTTCATAGATGTACAGTAGTCTGGTAAAAGTCCTTTAACTAATCTCTTACAGTATAAGGATTATTATTATGATTTTGTTTATGTCATTTCACTTAACAGTTATAGTGACATACACTATTTGCCTGGTGTGTCCATCTGTCCATCCAGCCATTTGTCTGTCCCTCTTACTTTGGTTTCCATGAACTTTCTTCTATCGTAATGGATGGCTCTCCACCAAACATGATAATAGGTGTGCCATCACTCAAGAAAGAAATCTATTGACCTACAGGAAAATAGGTCAAAGGTCACGGTCACTATGAAAGGTCCAGTGAGTGTTATGTCCAACACAGTCCTATGCAGTCAAACAGTAATTGTCTTTTAACATCTTGAATCTCCTTAGACCTTGGCTGAGTTTACTCTTTCCTTCAGACTTCCCCATGGCAGCAAGAGACCTATGAGACGGCACACACAGATAAGACACAACACCGCCAAGACAGCTTTGAAACAGCACCTGAAGGGTCCATTTATGATGAGGAGGAGCAGGGTCAAGACGACTACTACGATGACTATTACGACGAACAAAGGCCCAGAAGACATTACGACTCCCACGTGAGTGTACAGCTGACACATTTATCAATAGAATTTATAACAGGTGATGATTACAGATGCACATGGCTCACAAATTCTGTATTATATTTTTTGTAGGCTGATAATGTACCTAGCTTAGGCATGTGTTTCTTAACTAATTATAATGCATTATTCTTAATTAGACTCAACAAGAGGACAAAGTGCCATTTGTCCTCAACATTATGGTAGTCTAGCTTGCATCGTGCCTTTCATGTAGTCATAGTGCGAACCTTGAATAATTAAAAACCAATAAACCGTCCTGTCACCTTTAATCACCTGCCGGTACCCAGGGCGTAGTTTTTGTAGCAGAGTTGCATTGATTAGACCCGTAAAGAGGGAAGAGAGTTGAGGATCATAAATACCAACTTAGATGTAGACGTCCGCTAAGTTAAGCCTCTGTAACCCATAAGGACCCATACTACGAAGAAGATTACTACGACGATGACCGCCGTTCTCGATGCTATGAGTACGATGACTACTACCGAGACTCCTTCGAGAATGACGAGGTCTCTAGCATTGTGGATACTGAGAGAGGCCTCCCTCGTTACCCGTCACAGGTAAGAGGCGGTTCAAAACGACCACTGGCAGTGTTTTCTGCTTCTTGTTCCATCTTGTGTTGTATCTCAATTAATTTCTATAAATGTTCTCTGTTTGGAAGCGTTTAGTCAGAATGTATCCCATATCCCGTCGACAGGTAGGTTTTAATTTGTTGTAGAATTATATCCATGTGTTAAATATTAGACGTGAGACCAATATAAAGTGAGAGGACTGTATTTAGAGGTTAGAAAAGGCTTCTTTATGGTCTTACTGAACAGATGGGTGGAGCCTGTTCATGCTGTAATACATTAGTGTTAATCTTATAGTAAGTGATTGAATGACAACCTAAGCTTAATATATGAAGCCACTGAAGGTATTAAAAGTCTCTATAACACAACACTAAAGTGAACAAAGTACAATATTATGTGATCCTTTTGTCTGTACTCATTTGACTGTGGATACTGTATACAGTCTCACCAGTTTTATCACAAACATTATTGACTTGAACAGCAACTCCAAGAAAGCCAAAAAGACGAATAAATTTAATTAATATCAGGACACAGTATCAAAAGGTCACTTATTATAAATAGATTTTTTTCTGCAGACTACGTGATCCTTTACAGTACAGATTTCAATACATACATTGGTTCATCATACAACCAGGAACCTTTTACCATAAATAGTGTATAACTGTGGCTACATGTCTTGGGTATGTGACTTTACACCGAAGCATAAAACTTGCATGTTACTCATCACTCACAGCATGAGTTGCTTGCTTTCGATGACTTAATGCTCAAACACCAAGATTTTTTAGTAATAAGAATAATCTACAGATACTTTATTTTTAGTAACAAATATATTCATTAATTTAGTGATTTATACAAGTACAGATATCTGTCTGTTGGAAACATTCTTGGCACAGTAAGTTATAGTTTGATGTCTTGTATGTGATAGTATTAGTGTGTGTTGATGACTGTCACTCTTCATCTTGGAATATCCTTTGGCAATAGATCTAAGCTGTTTGTTGCTGAGGTATTGGTGGTGGTGCGCCTTATTTCATCTCCTGCTACATAGTGGAGGGGACTTGGCAATTCTATTAGACTGTGTGTGTGTGTGTGTGTGTGTGTGTGTGTGTGTGTGTGTGTGTGTGTGTGTGTGTGTGTGTGTGTGTGTGTGTTTAAGTTGTGATTATATCGGTTAATAAGATGAAGAATTAGAAAGGTATTTTTCGTCTTTATTTTGGGGAAATTCTGATCATATTCAGTTGTGTAGGATACAGGATAGTGTAGGATACAGGATAGTGTAGGATACAGGATACAGTACTTGTAGTCAGGAGTTTGGAATACAATACTGTAGTTAACATGTGGTAGCGAACTTAAACTGAATCTTGTTGTTTTAATTGTATTAGGATCTTTAAGTCCAAGGAAAGAGGTTCTAGAACATTTTCTGCTTCATTTTATGTCCACTTGAGTTTGAGAAAAGGTGTTGCTTCATTTCGTTATCAAAAACATTTGTTAAGACTTTACTGGATTTCATTTGTTCAGGTCTCCATTTGTTCACACATTAGTTTGAACATATCTGTGTTCTCTCTATAACAAATAAGTTGTTCAAAAAATGTAATGAATCTTTATACAGGGTTATATGTTCCTGACAAGAGTATCAGGCTTATACATTGGAGGGAAAGGTCATAAATGTCCAGTAGATCAAAGGTTGGTGTGTTATTTTAAGGTTGTAAAGTGAGGTCGAAGGTACAACTGCCCACAGGTAGGGTCATTTGTGTCCTATTTTTGTTTAATTGTGTTTTTTTTTTGCTTTTTATAATTGATGCTTATCTCGACAATTAAGTCATTATGCTGCCTTACACATTCTTTGATGCAGAATGATTAATTTTATTATTGGGTGTTCATTTATCTTTTATCTAGATTTTTATTTAGGAATATTAATAGATTCCTCTCTGGCTGCCACAGACCAACATCTGCAGGTGACTTAAGTACTTTATTTAATAACTTTCCTCATTAACATTAAATTAAGATGTTAGATAATTTCAGTATTAATATTGTAGATTAATAACTGATGTAATGATAATAATAATATAACTGATTGAAGTAAATGTTTTAGTTTGGTTCTTATACATTACTCATTTGATCTCCTCAAACATGAAGTAGAAATTCATGTTTTATCCCCCGTTTCATTATTCAAGTTCAGGTTACTTTTTATGGCAGAATAATACCCAGCCTCGTCAATATTTGTTTATGAAAGTCAAGATGATGATACCCTTAGCCTAGGTCTGAATGACTGGATTATTAAATTAGAAAACAAAGAGGATTTACACTTAGAAAATATATAGGTAATCTGTGTCAAGTTAAACCAGTAATCTAGAAATTAAATTTGTTCAGGCAGACCATCTCTCTCAACCTCTTCTCTGTAATGGTGAAGAAACACACTCACCCCCTCACTCACCCTCAGCTCTTTATAATGATGATACAGTTTATTAATTATACTTCTGCATCAAAGTAGAGACTAATGAGTTTATAACAGCCTGCAGCTCCCTCCGTTACTCCAGTCATGTCCTGTACTGTAACACTAGCATGTATGTTTTATGCAGTAAGATCCAGGCGAGTTATACTTGCTGTGTCCAATGATGTTAATTGCCTTTATATCTCTCTAGTTGCTTCTTGTATTCGTATTAATATATTCTCATATCAAGGTGAGACCTGTGAATGATAATGGTAAGTTCTTCTGTTTTTACTTATTCTAAAACCTTAATACACTTGTACATAATAACTATCCTTTTATAGTTTCTCTAATTTAGTTGTAATGTAAATACCCTAGATTCTTTTTTACATAGATTTATTATTGTTATTAAACTATGGATAAGTCATATTTGAAAATGTAAAAGAATAAACAGATCATATCTCTCTCTGATTACTATTGTTAAAGGTTAAAATGTGTAGTAGATAAAATTTTCATTAATATGTCCAAAAAATATTAAGATGAGGGATACAACATATGGCTAGCAAGGTCTTCCACCCTGTCAAGAGTCTCCCGTTGTCAGGGGGTTGGATATCATAATAGCACAACACATTATAAATACAAACTGACTTTATAAGATCTATGTCTGATTCATTGACATGTGAAGAATCAGATTAGCTGCTTCATATTCTCACCAAGGTTGTTCTTTGATCCCTACAGTGATAAAGATTCATTCTCATGATGTAGTCACTCCTTGCCTTAGCAAAAATTGAATACATTTACTTAGATTTGGGGTTTTCGTTTTTGTTGATAATTGAAGACTGGGTTTTAACCAGTTTGTGGTAAGAGTTTTAAGCAAAGTCGAAATTAAAAACGCGAGTAGGAGTATCAGACCTGAGGCTTAAAGATGTTAGTTACGCAGATTCTGACCAGGATAAAGCTGAGGCATTGAACAGCTTCTTTTCCTCGGTGTTCACAAGAGAGGATGCAACTAACTTTCCTGCGTTTGAGGACAGACGGTTCGACACAGCACTGACCCACATTGTGTTCACAGAAGAGGGTATTAGAAATAAACTGTCCAGGCTAAAGGTCCACAAGAGTCCCGGACCTGACATGGTGCATCCTAGAGTGCTAAGAGAGCTGTGCAACGAGCTTGCAGAGCCCCTGAAGATCCTGTTTTGTAAATGCCTGGATGAACAAATGGTCCGCAGTGAATGGAAAGTGGCTTATGTGAGTCCTATCTTCAAGAAGGGCGATAGTCACTCCACGAACAACTATAGCCCGGTGAGCCTGACCGGCATAATATGTAAAGTACTTGAGAGTATTATCAGAGCTGCCGCAATGGAACATCTAATACGAAACAACCTTGTAAAGGATTGCCAACACGGTTTTATGCCGGGGCGCTCCTGCTTAACACAACTGCTCAAGGTATTGGATATTTGGATCCATATTCTGGAACGGGGTGGTAATATCGACAATATTTACCTGGATTTTGCCAAGGCTTTCGACAGTGTACCCCATGAAAGGCTGAAAATCAAACTGGAAGGGTACAGAATCCGGTGAAATGTCCTAGCGTGGATAGAAGACTTTCTACATGACCGCAAGCAGTGTGTGGTGATTAATGGCACGAAATCATCATCCGTACCTGTCACAAGCGGGGTACCACAGGGCAGTGTATTGGGCCAGCTGTTGTTTGTTTGTTTCATAAATGACATGCTTGACGTTTTACACTCCTCCATACAAATGTTTGCCGATGACGCCAAGTTATTTCGGGAAATCAAGAACCAAGCGGACTGTGAAGAGCTGCAGAAGGACCTCTGTGGGCTCCAAGAATGGTCGGAGAAATGGTTGCTGAGATTCAATGTCACGAAGTGTAAGAGGATGCACCTGGGGCGTACCAACGGTAAGGAGGCGTATCATATGTCCCAACGGGATGAAGAAACTGCACTATTTGAGATTGAATGTGAGAAAGATCTAGGTGTGTATGTTGACAATGAGCTGAAGTTCTCGGGCCATTGCGAGAAGAAGGTAAATCAGGCAAATAAATTATTAGGTCTTATAAGAAGGTCGTTCAGTTATCTAGATGGTCCGTCCCTCGTAACGATCTTCAAGAGTGAAGTGCTTCCCCATTTGGAGTACTGTCACCCCGTCTGGTTTCCGAGATATACTAGGGACTGTCAGTTGATTGAAAATTTTCAAAGGAGGGCCACCAGACGGGTGCCTGCACTTCGGCACCTCAGCTACCCTGAGAGATTGGAGCGCCTGAACTTGCCTAGCTTATACTACAGACGGGCAAGGGGTGACCTAATTGAGGTGAATAAGCATCTCAGGGGGCACTACTCAGTCGAGTGTCCTTACTTGCAGCTGGCGGACGCTCGTCCCACAAGGGGTCACAGCTCAAGGTTGAAGAAGCCGCAAGTCTAGAAAACTGTGAGGGTAAACTTTTTCAGAGTGAGAGTTGTGAACTCTTGAAACAATCTACCAGAAAGTGTTGTGACGGCACCGAGTGTGAGCTCTTTCAAGACAAGACTTGACCAACACTGGAGCAGGTTCAGGTACATTCAGGAGCCGGTGCATGCCCAGTACTTGCCAACAGTGCGTAACAGAGACGTGACCGATCGCCGAAGCGGCTAACGAGTCGATCATTTGGTGAAGATGATAAAAGAAAAGGAAAAGTAACAGAGACGTGACCGATCGCCCAAGCGGCTAACGAGCAGATCTTTTGGTGACGAGGATAAAAGTAAAGTAAAAGAGTGGAAAATTCTGATACAGATGTGAATAACTGAGAAGGATTTTTGGAGACTAGAGACTGTGTGTGTGGAAAGTGTTTCTTGCTATTAAGCAGTTGGGCTCCCTGACAAAGTTAGGCTCTGTCAAGGTGATTCTTGATGGTAGTATTTACTGGTTACACTCATGAACGGATATAATATTAAGAATTATATCTATATTTTATATCACCAATTGTTTTGATTGTAAAATGAAACACTTCAGGTAATTATAAAAAAAAAATATTAATATATAAATATATTCTACCTATACTCATTGATGTATAATTGTACCAATCTAACTATAATCATTTTCTGATGGTGAAGAAAGGTACTGACTCAAATACTTTTATTGTCATAGGGTTCCGAAGAGATCTTCCCGGAGGGCGACGGCCAATATTCTACTGAGTACGAGAGTGGAACAGAGTCCAGGGAAAATGTCAATGCTAGGATAGAACCTTACCCAGGAGACCTCAGCAAGGTGAGTCAATATGTGTCTTGAGTATAACTATGTGGAAGACCAGGACACTATCTTCACCACCCTTAGTAGACGAGGATTTAGCAGTAGGAGGAGAAGGAGGAGGACAAAGAGGAGATTTAATAAAACAGGGAAAAAAAGAGAGTCACAACTTCCCCATCAGGAGGAGAGGCAGAGATAAACAAAGACCTGAGAGACATAACAGAACTAACATGCATACAACTCTCACATAAACTTTGTAGAAAGATATACGTGTACTGTATACTGTAATTACTAAGTCGAGCATTTATTTATTTATTTATATTTATTGAAGTGATTTTAAAGGTTGATAATTTGAGAACCACAGAACATATAACACAGGATCAGTTAATACATCTATAAAGTCATTTTTTTTACCCAACAAAAGACAGAAAGTGTTTGTCATAGTTACAAAGAGTGAGCTTCATCCTGTGAGTTTTCCTGTACACAAGGTGAGCAGTTCAGGATTTTACAAGTTAAGGATTATACAATAAACAAAAATAGCAGAAACCATAAGAACTATTAAAGGACACCTAGAAAATATACCTGTGTTCATTTTTATGTAGATTAATACCCCAAAATAATTGTATAAACCAGTTGTATATCTTGAAATGGTGCTGCTGTTTTATGTTTTTGTTTTATATTGTTTACAAGAAGCAGATCTGTAAGTGAATATATAAGGTAAGTCAAGGCTTTAGTGTAGTATTAGTGTCGTTGTAGAGGTGTAAATATGTCTTGATCTGTACATGTGTGGTAATCTTGTACAACTGTCATGAACTGTTCAGTATACAGTGTTGGCCTTATTCTCATACGTGTCCAGTGGTGTGAACATATCATACACGTTAAGAGTGTTGTGTTCTCAGCCCACGACACAGTTTACTCTTTTGTAATGATAGTTTCTTGTGATTATATAATAGTTTACTGTGGTGTGAGCTTAAGACACATCATGGTTCTTTTTTGTGGTGTAAGCTTAATCACACTAAGTTTTCTTATGTAATATGTTCAGCACCTGGAGAAGTTTTGATGTAAGGTTGGATGTAAATTGTTCATTGGAAAATGCTATGCGGTCTTGGGTTTTTCTCTTCCTTTGATGTAATGACACCGTCCACACTCATCTGAACTGTATATATATTGATAGATATAAACTTGCAGATATATATATATACTATGTATATAGAATTCAGATTTGACACATCATGCATATATATTTTTGTAATTACTGAAAAAACCAAACATATTTATCATCCAAATCAACTCTCTCTATTCCATTTCTGCCACCTTCTTTCTTTTCTTTGTTATTCAATACTTCTTTCTATTCCTTCTTTTGTAGGCAAAAGAGGAGAAGCCAAAGGAATCTAAGGTGAATATTTCTGCTTACATTAATCCTGCTAGATTTTTCGTACTCTAGTTATTTTCGCTTGCCATTCGCGTGTAAATTTTAACAACACATAAAAATCAAAATAACTTTGAAAATTTTACAATCTTGACTACAGTGTCTACTTACCAGACTGTAGAAAATAATGTGTGTAGCTTTATTAAGATAATTGTCCCTGAGGTAATGAAGAGTATAATGTTGGTTTTGTGAATGAAATTTTTGAAATGTCTTCATCTGTCCACTCTACAGCAGTGATGTAATAGGTGAATTTGTGTAGCTTTTTCATTTTTTTTAACTAATATTAAAATTTTGCGTATATCCTTGACTGCAATAAGGCTCAATTGATTTTATAACATTTGTGCTTTGCATTTTAAATCCAGTTGTAAGTCATAGATGCTTGAGTTGATCATTACTCATCTTCAGTGTTGATAATGGAAACTGATCGGTGCATTGTGATGTCTTGACAACCCTTTGTCTCCAACGAGTTAACTTGCCCATGTTAATGTCTAAATGTCTTGTCTTAGTCGAACGCATTCATAGCCTTGTGGTGAAATTTGTATACTGTACATGTAGTAATATTAAGCGTATTATTACACTATAATTTAACTGGTATTTTAAATGATTCGGATGAAGCAAGTTTTCATAGTGAATCAGGTTGAGCTTTTCCATGTAGTTCACACAGCATCAGCTACAGAATGTACCTCATTGGATTTTTTCCCTTTTGCAAGTAGCAGAAAAATTTAATTTGTTTGGGTTCCATCAATTCATCATTTTAAATGTAGCAGTCAACGCGAATTTTAACTGTTGAATTGATTCAGTATTTTAAATGTAGATCATAGAGACACTTTTAGTACAATAATCGAATTATTATTTTAAAATTAGACAATAGATCTAGTCTTACAGAGGCACACTAGACCTAGCTGTGATAGTGTTCCTCCCTCGGCGGTATAATGACGTACTTCCGTTATACTGACTTTTATCTCTCCAGTAGATGATATATTTTTTTACTCACTGAACCCCTTGATTAGTTCAGCCCCCAGCCCCGTTTTACCTACTACTTCACCATGAGCAGTTTCTCCTTCCATTGTGTTTAATTTTTCTCCGGCATCCCCACAAACTCGTAAAAACCCAAAAGAAATAATATAGTTTTTCCAATAAATAACTTAAACACTTAATCACAAATCTATAACCTGTTTTTTTTGGGAATGGCTCATGTGACTGTATTGACACCTCCGTTACCTCCTCCGCTTCCCAGATCATTGATTTCGACATGAAGACTCGGACGGAGCTCGCGAAGGCTGAGAGTGATACCACTAAGGTGACTTTTAGTTCCTCCAGTGCATGGTTAACTCTTGCTATCGGCAGCACTAAAAATATCTCAACATACAAGTCGCTCAATATCAGACAGACCAACTCCCCCCTCCCTTAATACACTTACTTGAGGTTCCGCTGCACTCAAGTCTATTTTTTTTTCTTTTTTTTTTTCTTTTTCCTTTGGCCGTCACAGCACACGTATCCCCTGAGCTTAGTCATGCCTCTTAGTTTACCCATAGTAACTGTGTTCCTTCTCTTATACTTCTCTTCTCAGTTACACTCTAGTGCAGAGCCTCATAATTGTGCCTGAGATTGCTTGAGAAATTACCATTACCAATTCCATGGTTGATAAATCAGGCTTCTAAATGGAATCCCTTGTGGTGTAGGTGATTAAAAGCCTTATTAATTAATGAACTGCAAAAGAGATGATATGGTAGAGGAAGTAACTAAGTGAGAGTGAAATAGACTGAGAAATTTATAATGTTAGAGTTAGTTCATGTAAGTAAGAGGCTGTGTGATAGGTGGAGGAAAAAATGGGGAAGGGAAAAGTGAGAAAGACTGAGAGAGAATGAAAGATAGATAGCGAGAGATGATGTAGTAATACTAGAGAGAAATAGAGAGGATGAGAGGAGAAATTATTGGAAGGAGAAGTGAGAGAATGAAGGCAGATTTAGAGGTGAGTAAAAGAGGAAAGCAGATAGATAATAAATAATGAGAGATAGAAAGAGCAAAAGAGGTGTGTATGGCAGTGATAGAAATGAAAATAATGTGCCATTTAGAAATCTATCTCCCATCACACCCAGCACTTCCTCTTGCATTCCCTGGAACCACAGGCACCATCTCCTCCAAGTAACACCAGACTATATGCAGTAACTGTTAGTTCCCACCACAGCACAGTAGTCAGTCATTAGTGAGCACCGGTTGTCGAGGCCCAGGTTCCGGGGAGTGTCACGGGAGCACTAGCCTGAAGCTTTTTTGCCACCCATGGCATTGTCGTGGCGGCTTTCTGTGTTGATGGCACTGTGGTATTGTTTCTAGGCACCTGCAGGGGGAGGGAGGCCCACAGAAGCCTCTGCAGATAAAGAGAACAAAAAGATGAGTTTCGATGAAAAAATGAAGCAGATGTCAAAAGGTGTGCCCTCGGCGGCGACCACAGAGAAGGTGAAAATCTGCATGCTTTTCATGCATGCATATTGAATTGATTTCCCAGGAGTAAACAGAATGATGTTTACTAAAGAATATATATTGAAAAATGTAGAGAATAATAATGATGACTAGTTGTAGTCCTTAATGGGACATTCTTTTTCTTTTTTTTAATGCAAATCTTAACTTTTTTTGTAAATGTTGTCATCATATTCGTGTGTACAACACATCACAGGGTGAGGATGTAAGGGAGACACCACCACAAGTTCAGCCTCAGGTTCTGTCTCATGATAGACAACCTGAACAAAGGCCTCCAGTACAGCCTGAGAGCCAGACCCAATCTCTTGCAAAAACCCAGGTTAAAGATCAAACTGTATCTCAGTCTGAATCCCAGGTTGAGAGTAAGACTGAGGTACAAACTAAAGCTCAGACACAAACACAAGCTGAGGCTGCAAAAGAGCCTGAGACACTGGCTCAAAGTGGTAAAAGTAAACTGTTAAGTTTTGAGGCTAAGCTCAGAAACCTTCAGCAGGGCCAACCAACCCGCTCTTCTCAGGCACAGGTGAATAGTGCTGTCACTTTGATATGTTTTTATGTCTCTCTGGAAAAGAAGCATTTCTGGGAATCTTTAAGAACCAGTCAAACATCTTTTGCCTCTTATGGACTTTTCAAGCGAGATAATCTTGCTTAAGTGACTCTGATTTACTTTTTAACTTTAAGTCTCTTTTGGGGCATGTTGAGTGACTTACCAGTGGGCCTCGACATAGCATGCTTTATCAACCGCTTCTTGCATGGCAAGCACGAAAGCTGAGTTTGACGGATTTCTGGGCACCTGCTGCCAAACTGACACCGTCACTTTATACCAACTTTCTCTCTTGTTCAACAATACAGTACTGATGATTTGTTAATGCCATAGGGCTTCAAGAGGGTCATATTAATATCCTCTTATTTTTTGTCTTCTCCCTTACTTACAAAATTTTTCTTGAGATTTTAAATGCCCTCTGACTTTTGGAGGGTATTACTGCAAGCATGTCAGTGCTACAGAAGAGATATCATTCTCTTACCGGACTGTTTCAATGTCATGGAAAGAGATGAGTTTTACCTGACATGATAATAGCACTTCCGCATGAATATCTTGGATGTCTTCTATAAACCATCTTGGACTGTTAGCAATGGATCTTTGCTCATGTTATATATCTTCTATAAGTGTCAAGAGGATTTATGATGCTGAGATTGCTTGATAATCTTCAAGGTATATTTTTCTGATTTCCAGTTTCCATCTCCATCTGTTACTGCTTATGGATCTAGTCTCTCATAAGAGGCTATTGTTTATCTTATGTAATTATCAGTGTTGGACATTAACATTTTGATGCATCTCTCTTAACACACACACACACACACACACACACACACATACTCACACACGCACACACACGCACACACACACACACACACACACACACACACACACACATACACACACACACACACACACACACTCTTGCAATTGCATCCTCATTCATATGGTAATTATTTTTGTTATGAATATTACTAATATATTGAAAATCTGAATATACTACATCCATTACAGTTATTTCCACCACTTACTGTACTGGTTAGAGACCAGCCTTTGTGTTACAGCTTCTGTTATCTCTGTAATTGTTCAAGGGTGAGTGACACTTTGTTCATATTGTGAGTTTCACCTGTTTAAGGCATGTTGATTGGTCGAATGGGCCATTGTCCTCAAAGGTCCCAACCAAACCTTACCATAAAGACTGGGACCCAGTTCTAATGGACCCTACATTGATTAGGTTAGGTTATGGCCCATTAGGACTGGGGCCCATTTGATCTGCAACTATTAAGGCACTAGTGTGAAGACAGACACTTGTCAGAGTCTCATTTCTCTTACTGCTTACTCCTAAAGCTGCCATAGTTGCATTCTTACCAGCGTTAGTAAAGCTTCTCAGTAGTATTTAGGGTTGACTTTGTTCTTGGTTTTGCTGGAAATAACATTGTTGTCATATGTACAGTACTCAAAGTGGGAATAACCGGCCTTTCTACTATGTGTTCAGAGTGGTCCCTCGACGGCCACCTTGAACCGACCGGCTGAACAGGTAAATAGGCAGAGATCCTTCGAGGAAAAAATGCGACAGATGAAAGGAATTCTAAAACTACCGGCACTACCCACCTCCCTACCTACCTCCTTGCCCATCAAGGTGATTTTTTTTTTAAATCTGAAAAAATTGGATTCTGAAATTTATGGAGAAGTGTAACATCAAATCTTCATTCTTGAAACATACCTAGGGTTGATATGATAAAATCACTTCAAAACAAATTTCAAAATCTTTTCTAAATTTTTTTTCATCATACGTTGAATATGAATTAATATTTTTCTGTTATTTATTTGTTTATTTTTTGCTATAGTTATACAAGACATTTTTCAATCTTGAAGATAGCAAAGGAACTTTCAAAAACAAGTTTCCTTTAAACATCATATTTTTTCTTAGATACCTGATTTAACGCGGGCCTCAGTGCCTAAACCTCAAGACAAGCTTAGAGTCCTGTCCAGCCAGCCTGCCCGTGAGGAACAGGTCAAAGAGACCGAACAGCTGCCTGTTAAGAAGGTGAAGTCTTGGCGTAGTTGAACACTTCATTTATCTCAACCACCCATACTTGCATGTTTATCACAAGTTCCACCTTGCCTGTTTTATGAGCGTGGTTTTCGTCTGGAACTTGTGGAGCTTCTGGTCCTCAGACCAAGTGTAGAAGGACCCCACTAAATCTCACTCTGTTTGGGGTGATGTACGATGCTTCCTCCCTGTAGAGTTTGTTTATTAATCATGTAACTTATAGATGTGAGAGCTTTTGTTGCTGAACTAAACTAGTCACTCCAAAATTGCACATATGGTGACTCAGTGATGTACAGCTGAGAAGGGTTGTAGGTTGTGAACTGTACCACAGGTATCAGTGATTCTTGTGACTCACATCTAAATGTTGCTGGTTATTTTAGCAACACACATTTACTGTAAGGGAAAACATAAGCTACTGATAATGGAATGTCACGGAGACCTAAACGATGTCATCACACAATGATAAAGTTAATCTTCTATAAATAGCATATACAGTATGTAATTTGCTTGAATCTTATATATTTAGTTCAGTAATTTTTGGCCTGTGATATTTACTCTTCTTTTATAATGAAAATATATGAAGTTGAAACAATGAGTTTTCTGAAAACAAATGTCTTGGCCCTTCTAGTTAGTCTTTCTGTGACCCAAAGTTGGATGAGCAGTTCAGAATCTGTTGTTGTTACATGTCTCTGGCTTATTAGTTTAAAATTCATCCACAGTGTTGAATAATTTATGTTTAATTGAGAGGATTGTTCTTACTTCCTTCATAAAGTTTAAGGTTAAATCACATAGATGTAGAAATGCCAAGGATGTCTCTAAGTGTTTACCATCAAGAAGAAAACACTTACCTGACCTTAATATTGTTGAGGCTATTAGTCACTCATGCCATTATAATTAACATTTGTGAGTGGCATTTCAATTAAATTTTCTCACTTGTTTATACTATCTACATTGGTCCAGATTCTTGTAGTTTTACAGTGAGCCCCATCCATCTGTCATACAGTTTGGGAAGTATCAGAGTCATTATGTTGTCTCTGTTTAGTTTTCAATGGCTCATCATGGTACAGTGAGTAATACGATGCAGTCATAATTATCTTCACAACGTTGGCTGTTCTGAGTTACAAAACAAAGATCAATTCATAAGCAATACTCAGAGCTCCTGAATGGGTAGGGAATATATTTTGGCTCTCCTATAACACACAAACTCAGAAGTGTGTCCAAAAGAAATATGAAAATAATTGAATTACATATGAGTTTAATGATGAATCTCTTTGTGAAGTATTCTATAAATAGCTCATATTTATATTTACAGTAACAATGTATTCTTTTACAGTTAATGTGTGGTTAAGGAGTAATTTAAATGAGTCCCATAGTAATTAATGCTGGCTTTAATACCCTGTGTGTTGAGCCCATGGGTTCTCTTCACAAAACTTGTAACGCAAGACCAACAGGGCTGTGCTTCAGCTTGTACATACAGTATATAGAATATATTTAGAAGGAAACTGTAATGAAATCCCTAAGTAACATTGGACTACAGTGTCCCCCTTCAAGCACCATCTTACAGAAGTCTAGCACCGTAGCTTTAGCGGGACAAGGTTACACTACAGTATAGAACGCCACATGACTTGCTGGTAATCATTTTGGATATGTGATATAATAACAACTAATTTGAAAATAGTTTATTATATTTTTAGTTCAGTTTTCATATCTAATTAATTTTAAGCAAGACATGACATTCTGAGTCCAACAAAATTAATTCTCTCAGAATGGTACATAATATCTTAGCCTTCTCTGCATTGGTACACAGTTGTTTTATGCGCATGCAGTTATTACTACACTAACTTGTCATCAACTCTGTGATGTAAATATTTGGAGATTACAATTCAGTAATCAGAGATAGGTTGAGTGATGGCATAAGTATTATTATTACTTATGCAGTATATATTAATGAAGCCCAAATGAGATTGTCTTCAAGGAGGTAAACAATTCACAACTTCATATCAAAATTTCATCTAAAAAGCTTTGATTTAAACAAGGGAATTGTGTACACAGTACATGTACTGTACATGGATCTCTCCAAATAACAACTCGTGGCTTTTAGGTCACCCAGCAAACCCAGCCCAGACCAGAGCCTGCAGTGGACCAAGCCAAGAAGGCCTCTTTTGAAGAAAAGATGAAAATGTTGCAGAAGCCCAGCTCAGAGGTGATTCTGGTCCTCTGTGACACTTAAAAGACGCTGCCTGTTTGAGACTTTTTGTGTCTTTTACTGCTCGCGAATTTTAGAATTTTTTAAATTAAACTTCTTCACATTGTATTTGAAAAGCAGACTTTTTACATCGGCAAAGGATTACTTTTTTACATTATGGAGTTTAGAGTTCTGTATTTACTTTCTTCTTATACAGATATTATATATCGCTCACAGTTTTTGCATGCAGTATTTCCTACACATGAGGAGGTTTAACATCGATCGGTTGTCTAAGGACGTAATAGCCACCACAACTTGTGTTAGCATGGTCACATATGCAGGAACGTCTTGCCTGTTCTCTCATGTCTCATAATCTTCACCATCTTCCATTTTATCACTTTATTCAGTTTTTGTTTTGGTAAATACCTCTCTGTAGAAATTAATTTTATTTTTTTTTACTTCTGTGGTTTTAACTGAGCATGTTTTTGGTTGGTCATCTTGAATCAGTACACTAGTTGTGACTGAACTATTGGGCAAGTTTTACTCTTTCCTTGCTGGTGTTGTCCTGCTGGTGACTAGACCCAAGATGAGGGGCTTCAGTCACTCAGTTCTCTCCTCATCGTGTTGATGGGGATTTACCACACAGTACGGTAGAGTTACAGTAAGAGCATTTGTATGGAGTTCTCATATTGCAGGAAAATAAATTGTGTAGGTAGTTTGGGGGAAAATATGATAGATTGTATTAAGGAATATGCTATCTGGGTCACAGTTAGATTGGAAAATATATGTATATTCTCTATCATAATTGTATGGATAGATGCTGGTTAAGGGTGAAGTATATGAGAAATGCCCATATGTGGGAACCTTGAACTGTGATACTTAATGTCTCAACCAAAATGATGTGCTTGAGAGAATCATTGATGTATCTTTAGGTTAAGTTTACTATGAAATAGAGAATTTGCTCTCAAGACATTTTATTACCTCTCTACAAGCTGGTGATATTCAGTCCGTGTTGGAACTTTTTATAAGTATTATAGTACTGTATGGGTACAGTACTGTACTTTAATATCTGACAACACATTAAAATTGTTACTAAAAGCCTGTGTAGGTTATTTACTGCACTGCATTATGGCTGGTACTCTGTGCAGTTCTGTCATATTCTTGGGTCATACCTTGAACCAGTTTAGTGGGTTACCTTTTAAATACTTATTGGTTAAATCTGGAAACAGGTTTTCTAGTAATATATAAGAGACTACAGTACAATATTTGAATCAGCCAGTTAATGAGTTACAAATACAATAGTTAGTTAACATGAGGCTCAAAGAATTCTCTTGGTGTTACAGTCAACATTTGTTCCTTTATAAGTAACTGCTTCTGAACAGGTCATCCCCCTTAAAGTGTTTCCCTGGATATTCCTGTAGTACTTTTATGTACTTTCAAAACATATCTTTACTTTTATCTATAATTATTTAGTATACAATTTATGACCAGTTTTATACACAAGGTAATGAACAGATGTGGAGGACCTTGGTATTGATGTGGTCCTACGTATAACTTGCCCAATAGGTCAGACTCTCGAAGTACACATAATGATTGGAAGCATTTTTAATTTAGTTCCTTTACTGCCTTCTAGAGTTGATTCAAACTATACACATGTATATTTGCCATACAAGTACAGTATGAATGTAGATTTATTGAACCATGCTTAAAAAAAGAGTAGTGTTGTATAGTTTATTTTCCAGTTGATTTGCTCTTGCTACCCTTCCAGTTTTCCTGACTTCTACTTCAACTGTTACTTTCCCCTCTCATGTGTGATAGGCACAGGTCCAGATGGAACAGCAACAACAACAACAACAACAACAAGAGATGAAAGACAGGGAAAAATCTGTTGTGGTTCCATCGCCTGTGGAACAGATGGAGGCCTTGTCTGCCGAGGACGCCTCAGTCATTGCCAGCAGCACCCACGTTACTTCTACTGTCACTGCCACCTCTTCCACAACCACTACACCTACTGGAACTACCACTACCACAGTTACTTCTGAACCTTCTACCACAACACAACCATGCTCTACAACATCTGTAGTTATTCCTACCATCACCACAACTGTCCCTGTCACTCCGCGTACTCTGACCACGATTCCTGAGGTGGCTGGAGAGGTGGAGCAAACACCACAGCAGCAGTTGGAAGGAGCAGTCACAGTCGAGGTGATCCCCCACCCTAACTAAGGCTGGTGACGTAGCAGTGGCATAATGATGAAGTAATGCTGACTCAGTGATGACATAATGCTACCCTTTCCCTTGGCTCAGTGTCGTGGTAGCTGAAGCCATTCTTTATGATATTAGTAGGCTGCTTGCTCCCTTTCTTGCGCTATGATCAACTCATGTATGGGTATTGTGACATGCTGCATTTTACTTATCTGCTTCTTACTTGATACAAGTGACAGGCATTTTCATATTAAACTAGAAGAATCTTCGACCGAGGGCAATGTAATGCCTCGCCTTTTATCAGTATTGGCATGGAAAGTTTTGAGTGCTTTACTTAGTTCGTCTGAAGTCTCAGAAGCTGCAAGAGAAAAACTTATCCCCCTTAACATACAAAGGACTTAGAAAATACAGTATAACACTACTGTAGTTAGCTTTGCCTTGTGTGTTGACTCTTTGAGTTACTCCAGGGCAGAGGCAAACCCTTAAGATCCCCTAAATTCTTCCCAGCTTTCTTATCTCTGATGCTTCTCTCATACTTCCTTTTATATGTATGTACTCTATACATATTTATTTTTCTTAGATTACATACAATATACAGTGTTTTTCTCTTTATCTTCATTTTGAAGCAAGATTTTTTCTTTTTAAAGATGTCTTATTTTTTAACAACCACTATTGTTATATTACAATTTTGTCTCAGTTTTGCAAGGTGTCTATACATAATGGTTTTTAGTTTGACATTTTTATTCTTCTGCATTATCTTCCGGCTCCTCTGTGTATAACCAGACAGATAAGGTCACATGCCTTTCGGTCACACCTAATGACATAACGCATATTATCCACAGCCTACCGTTGGAATCCAACCCCCAGAAACGGTGCCAAGGCCCACCGAGGCTAGTCAAGAGGTGAATATTTCAAATATACATAAATTTCCGTCCTCGTGATTCATAAATTTATTGTTTTTTTTTCACTCCTGTTGATCACGTATCTTCATCACAAGGTCTACTTCAAGTGACCCGCATGATCCAGCACTTGTAGTTGATAACCACAAACTATCAAGTATTTTTGTTTTTAATTTTTGGACATACAAGAAGTTTTTAAGAATAGCATCATGCATTTTATGACTCAACCCCATCCCATTCACGTTATAAATATAACATCATGTATAAAGAATAATACCCAACCCCGACCACAAATGTAGCATCATGCATATAAAAAGATTACCCAGTCCCATTCACATGACAAGAATTTCATCATGTATATGAGATCGTGTGCCCCATCCCATTCATCTGAAACTGGTTATCCTTTAATTCATAGGGTCAGGGGGAGATCCCTCTACCACCTACTGAGGAAAAGCCGGCAGTGGTAGATCAACAGGTGAATTTCTCTATTAGGATGTTTTTGTATTTTTTTTAGTCTCTAGGTACAGTAGCAGTACATTATGGCCCATGTGCTGTAGCTTTAATGATACTTTTCTACCATGACTGCTGTAAGCCAGTCTGCTTCTTCTGGGACGAGAAACAACCCAGTGTGATTTTTAGTAGCTATCTTCTGTACAGTTCCGGTTTGTTTAGCTACAGTACCGCTCTGCTGCCCTTCATGGATTATTACTGTACTCAGAATAGTGCTCTGAGTGGCAAACGTTTTTATTTTTCCTCTGAACAGTAATGAAGAATACATTATATATTCTTAGTACTGTGATCAAAATTGAACCTGAGTGTCTCTTTTATTATAAATTTTAACACAAAGGTTCTTTCAGTAATGGTATATAATTCCTCTGCTCCCTTTTTACTACTATTTTATTCATAGGCTCATGCCAGAATTCTCATGGCGAACTTTTCTTCGTAAAGATATTTCCTAGTCGTCTTGTGCCACGACTCTCCATCGGGTGTCGTGTAGCAGTGCATGTAGTGTACAGGACATTGTGCTGATGCATGTGCAGTATATGCATGTTGTCTCCTCTTGGGGTTTATATCTTACTGTATCTCTCACATCTTCCACAATAATTATATCTTCCAAACTGTTCCCGCAGCCATTCGTAGATTTACTGACAAAAATGTTGTGTAGAGTCTTGTGTACCTTCTTCTGTCTCACTTCCCTGTCGTGGCTTGCAAGAGTCTTCTGCGTGATGTTGCAGTGTTGCCTGTTACTACGTGTTCTCTCTCCATGTGTCAGGTGCTGAGCGACCCCAGCAGAACTGGCTCAACGCTCCCTGAACAGACACCAGCCCAAAAGGTGAACCTCTTTACCTCCCCAATACACAGGCTTAATTTTTTACACTTGATAAAGAGATGAAGCTCTTTACCACCATATTGTGTACTTGTGTTTTGATAGAGTTTTTGGAGGCAGTAAGCTTAATACTGTACAGTACAATACCAGTATTCTGTAACTATATTTTTTAATGAAGCTTAAATAGATGTTACTCTTTCCAGTTGATGTGTTGTCATTATTGAAAAGGAGATTAGATATATCATTTTATGAAGATCAAACAGTAACTTAACATTACATATGTGGTTTGAAGTTTATGAATGTTTAGACCCTCTGGTTTATTCTCTATATCTTCCTCCAAGACATCAAGGAAAATGTTTATGTGTATTGGAATTGTGTCTTTCAACTTCACCTGAAATTGATTCTACTTAATAGCATGACATTATGAGGAGAGGAATAGAATAACTTTAGTGTAGGACTCAGTTATGGCGCTCATATTGGTAATATTTAAAAGTCTTCATTGCTTACTATCTTCACACGGCTTCTACCTCTTCGACATTTTAGTTTATATTTTTTTCCCTGGAGCCTGTGGTTATAGTCTTATTTATCAGAGCACAGGAAACCTTAGGGAAAATACAGTTAGCTTTGTGTGACATCAACTAGACATTTGGAAAATTAGTACTGCAGGAGAAAATGGATTACTAAAAATATCTGACTACTCGCATATACAAACACTATTTATACTCATTATTTCACGATAGTTGAGCTGAGATGCCAGACCCCCATCAAAAGATTTAGTGTTGTGTTTTTATTATTTGGCTACACAAGAGTTTGGTTGAAGAGGCAAGAGTTACACTTCAGAAAGTTAATGTGAGAGTCAAACATTGGGTGAATTAGGGGAGATACTAAGACAAGAGATACGCTGCAACACTCACTCATCAGCTGCGTCCAGTAGGGGAATGAAGGTTGCTCGCCAGTATTGGTATATATGTACTGTGGGAACATTTCTAGTTTAATCCCAAATTATATGGTAACTCAAAGGCACAATATTATAGTGTTTATCCAATATGCAGTTAGCTGTATCATGTACGTTTATCACTTAAAACCCATTCAGTCCAGCTGATGATAACCTGTGTATAAATATTGTACTAATAGACCTTATCTGTTCACATAAGCTGTTCTGTATGAAGGCATTTAATTCATCCAAGCAGGTGTGATTAAACTATTTGAACCCGCTTCTCGACGGACCTGTCATAAGGCATGCGTGTAGGATATTTTAAATTTTATCATGAAATTAAAAGTAATCTCTCCTTTGGAATAGTTTTAAGCCAAGAGTAGCCAGCTGCCCTTTATTTCTTAATGGTTGTAGGACTTGATGAGCCAGGGATCCCATTAGGAATTGTTTGTGAAGATGATGACGAGTCGTGGAAGTCCAAGTTTGATCAGGTCCGATACTTAGTGGAAGGAAATTCTTATTTACTTTATGACATCCTCTTTATGGAAATGAAACTTGGGCAATATTTTCAGTTGTTTAGGTGTCTTGTTCTCTGCCAAATACAAGATTGATCAGAGGTGCATGACTGAGTAATTCACAATAAACTTTCATAATTGTGAATTGTTGACTGCTTCCTCCATTCTCTTCTTACATATTATTTCAACTCCCCCTCTCTCACCTCTCTCATAATATGGAGACAAATGAAGTATTTTCATTTGGTATATTTCTTTTCACTCTTTAGATTCTGAATAGATGAATTTATCCTTTCATTTTTCGTTGCTCCATCAGCAGCCAGCCTCGGAGGACGCCCTACAACCAGATCAACAGGTAGATTCCTCAGCTGGTGTACGTTGTAAACACCTAGTGCACGACACCTTGGATGCTTTTAATTTTTGTTTTTTACTTATGGTGCTGCAGGAATTCGTACAGTGATGGTGCTTTGTAATTTTATAATTTGGCTTTTATTAATAATAGATCTCTATTATTGCTACAGTGGATAGCTTGTGCTGTAATAGTGTAGATAACATTACAGTATCTCATGTTGTACTGTATTGACCTTGCCTTGTCTTGTAGGTCGGGAATCAGGTTTTGATGTGGTGTGACCATTACAGCTTGTGATGTGGGTCGTCACACATCGTCATGTAATACCGAGTGAAGTCACGTAGAAGTAATGCTGTAGTTATTGATTTGGTAGTGAAGGTAATGCAGATAGTGAAGACGTATTGATGTAGGTTGTGGTGAGGGTGATGGACAGTGATATAATGTATCTTGGTAAACAACTTTGGTATGGTGAATTTATTATGTTCATAACACAATAAACAATGGATAATGGCCATAAAACAGTGATAGTGATGATGATATTTTATAACAGGTGGGTAATAATCCTTACATATAAACAACTGTACATTATAGGTATATGGAAAGATGTAAGAGGTAAGGAGATGAGAATTACAAGGAACAAGAGAGGGAATAAAGTCAACTTAGGTTAAATTGATGACAAAGAATATGTGTGACACTAAAGGGGTTGAAAATATAGATAATGAAGGCAAACTGACTGTGGAAATAATGGTAGAAAGATGAAGATAGAGATGCATTTGATAGTCAGGGGAGGAATTCCATGTGAGGGCAGACCTGATTGCTGTAGAGGGTAAGACCATATGTTGGGGGTAAAGTATGGATGAGTTCAAAGGAGGAAGCCTAGTGTATGGGATGCGGTCTTTCCAACGTTGGGAATGTGATGTTTCCTGGAGAGATTATATACCAATTAAAATAAATACTAAGGATATTGACAGTGATATCCTGGTGTAATGAGGAGGTTACTGAGTGAAAATATGGGCTGGGGATAATCTTGTTTGAGAGAGATGGTAAGAATTCATGTTTTGGTAGCAGTTGAGATGACTTGCTGGACTGGGAGACTCGATTGGCTTTGAGCATCAGAGACATAGGATAAATTTTCAGGGTAGTTAATATTGTACCATCAGCTGAGGATATGAATTGAGGATGAGAGCACCGACATTGACACAAGGGAAGTCTGATTGAGAAGTATCCACTGGTCCTCGGGTGTGACAGATGAAGAGGAAGAGAATATGACAGGAAATTAGAGAATCAGTTTTTGAAGATAACTGGAATACCTTTAGTTCCCACAGCTTGTATGAATAAGACGGGAATAAACAGAAAATACTCTAGTAGGGAGTTTAGCTGGATTTATGGGATTGGATTAATTTGAAAGAGATTCATAGGCAAATATGGAACTTAGGATATCAGCTTTGGTGTCGGTGTTATGGCAGCTGTGAAACCCAAATATTGTTGCCAAAAAAAAAATATCGAATATCTAGATAGTTACATATATTGTACCATGAAATAGATACTTAATCATGTTAAAGCTTCAAACATCAATTGTGGTTCATATAGGTTAGATTAGGATAGGTTAGGTTCGGTGACATTCGGTTATGGTTAGAAGGAATAGTGTTCTCTGCTGTAACCTTCAACAATGCCAGACTTGTGTGTTGGGTGAGTTTATTTATCGGAACGTAAATGAATTGGTGTTTTTTTTTATTTCTCTGGGGTTGCTAAAATTTTCGTGGGGGGATTATATTTCTCTGGGGTCATTGATAATTATTTAGGGTTAATAATTCTCTGTGGTCATTGATAATTCCCAGGGGTTATTAATAATTCCCTGTGGTCATTAATAATTCTCTGGGGTCATTAATAATTCCCCGTGGTCATTAAAATGCTTTAGGGTCATTGATAATTCTCTGGGGTCATTAATAATTCTCTGGGGTCATTAATAATTCTCTGGGGCCATTAAAAGTCCCAGGGTCCATTAATAATTCTCTTGGACCATTAATAATTATCTCGGGCCATTAATAATTCCCGTGGTCATTAATAATTCTCTGGGGCCATTAATAATTTCCCGTGGTCATTAATAATTCTCCGTGGTCATTAATAATTCTCTGGGGCCACTAATATTTCTCTAGGGTTGTTAATAATTCTCTTGGACTAATAGTAATTCTCTGGGGCCACTAATAATTCATGAGTCGTAAGCTCAGGCAGGTAGTTGATAGTGTGGAATATTTTTATTTACAGTAGTTACCAGTCCTAAGAAACAACTAAGGTCTTTAACGCATACCAAGACTAGATTATACTGAAGACATCAACAATTAAAACTTTAAAGATTATTCTATGTAAAGACAACTTGGAATTTGCGTCAGGTTTTAGGATGTGAAAAATTATTTATCATTGTTCAACTTTCCAATTGGTTTGATTTTCAATGGCACTTCAAAATTAATTATCTGCTATTTGACTTATATTCGATGGACTTATCCTCGCTTTAGAATAGTTTACGATGTATGTGTGCTGTGCAGTTCAGTATGTAATGTTGACCCGGTGACCAGTAACGTGATTGCCGACATTAAACTGTTCTGCAATGTCATAAATAAACAGTACAGAGGATATATGTTGTTTTGAGGTCAGGTTATTGTTTGGTTTTGTTATATTATTACTGTATAACAAATTAACAAGCAACCACATCAATCACGAGAACCATATTCGTTAACACTACACTACACGCGACGCCTTGTCATTGTTACCAACTAACCAACAAAGCTTTTAACTGATTTTTTTTTTACGGGGATTAGCCCACCCGGGAACAGGTCGTTGATCCACATCGGGGCCTGGGGGGCGAAAATTTAATAATAATAATAATAATAATAATAATAATAATAATAATGATAAAGAACCATAAAGAAAAAAAATCCTTAATGAGAAACAATATATGTATGTTGTGTTGTCAAAGTAAGAGAACCAATGAGGCAGAAAGTCAGATCACCAACCTGGGACTTGGTCACATATGGCAGCAGGGTCCACCATTAGACAACACATTATGCGGTAGTACCTCCCTGTTTGGTAGCTGCTTATTACCTACTACCGTTTGCAGATTATACACGGGTGACCTTTACTTGTCATGTTGATAAGACCATTCATTTGTATATTGCGCTCTTGTGCGGATTCCGATTGTCATAGTCAATGTGTAAACTAGTAGACGACGCGCTCCGTACCAGCGACATCTATCCGCCGCACTACCAAATTTGTGCCTTCGTTCGTATGTTAACCATTACATGTGAATGCCTGAACTTTCCCGTCTTATAGTCTTTGGTAAATTGAATGTGTCACGTGTGTTTAGAAGAGAAGACTCCTGGAAGACGAGATGTGTTTTTGCCCGTGTTAAAGTGTCGTTCCTTATTTTCGGCGTAAAAAGTATTTGCGTTTGGGTTACAACATCATCTAAGTGCACGTGTTGTAGCGAAGATGACTGAGGACACCCGAGTTAATGTTGAGGTAAGCAAATTGACCGAATGATCTTTAAATGTGACAGATTCGTGCAATGAGTCGATGTGTCCAGGTGTTATTGATGTAGAAATATAATTATTGCAGTAGTGTAGTGTAGCATGACTTATTATTATATGCCACAATGTTCAGGTGTGAAACGTGACCAAGGCAAAATAGACCGATTAATAATACGTAAATTGCTTTAAATCCTTATTTGTTGTTATTATTTACACAAGAAAAGGTTTAAGTTATCTATACAAAACCGTTTAAATTTGCTGCCAGTTTTTAGTGTGTGAAATATAAGCATTAATAGCCGGAACACTTGTCTCCTGATACTCGCATCAATAGGTCACATGGTCGTCGCGTTAAACTGCTGCTCCACCACGAAACATTAGGGGAAGAGCATAGCAAAGTTGTAATGCTTTCACGTTTCTCTTTCTGGAATATTCTAGAGGCATGAAAGTTTTTCCAGTAGAAATTGTTCTAAAGTTGCTCCTCCTCTGAGTCGTTGTTGTAAAGTATTATTGAATTCATTAGACATTCCATGCTCAGTTATGTGGTTAATTAAGAACAGGTGGTGCTTATTCATTAAAATCAGGTGTTGCTCTAAAATGAAAACCGTTTGATAAGTATTGATTATTGTAAAGCGGGTCCAACGAATTACCCAAAATTACCCAAATGTACCCAAAAGTATATTAAATCAGGGTAAAATCTTAACGAATATCTGGGTCCTTTTGGGTAATTCGTCGGACCGTTGTAAAACCGGTGTTGCTTATTATAATTTTAAGGAGTTCTTGCGGTAAGAAAACACGAATGGCCGACCTCACATTGAACTTGGGTTAAGGCAGACGCGAGAGGGTGACTAGCATACGTTTATGTGGGAAATTATGGCCCTTAATGACACAACGTACTGTCAGACGTGAGATTGTCTAAGTGACCTAGATACAAGAGAATTGAGGCGTTACATCATCTTTTTTGTGAATCTGAGTCTCGCTTCCTGCCCTACAAAGAGCTTGTCAGTACGTTACAAACATTTATACTGTACTTGGTGTGTTCGTCAGTTTTGATATTTTTGCGTCTGAGAAAGTTTAGGGTTCAGTCTTCGGGGCAGTAATGTTAGGGTTCAGTCATCGGGGCAGTAATGTTAGGGTTCAGTCTTCGGAGCAGTAATGTTAGGGTTCAGTCATCGGGGCAGTAATGTTAGGGTTCAGTCATCGGGGCAGTAATGTTAGGGCTCAGTCATCGGGGCAGTAATGTTAGGATCGGGGCAGTAATGTTAGGGTTCAGTCATCGGGGCAGTAATGTTAGGGTTCAGTCATCGGGGCAGTAATGTTAGGGCTCAGTCATCGGGGCAGTAATGTTAGGACTCATTCATCGGGGCAGTAATGTTAGGGTTCAGTCATCGGGGCAGTTATTATAATCTAACGTCAGGGACCTTCAAGGACTATACAGTATAAATTAGTTAAGTCACCAAATAAACACATGTACATATTAGTAGTTGAATCGCGTTGATTATAATTTAGTTTATATCATATGCAGTACTTGGTGTATTAGCACGAAACTGTCTTGATAAGTGAACAGTTACCTTATGAGGAGGTGTTCTCGTCTATCGGAACGGATGACAAGTATATGATAATGCTTTTAACAAGTTGTGTGTCAGTCATCAGGGTTGTGTGGTGACGACCGGAGGTGCTTCCTAACTCTTGAAATTCACTCAGTAATACAACCACGACTCTCTTGAAATTATTAACCGTTTACGAGTTTAAATATCACGTAATATGAAATTTCGCTACATTTATAACGTGTTTTATCAATCAGTTATATAGAATTATCGAAAGGTGTTGGTAGTGGAAAGTATATTAGAATTCATAAGGAGAAGCCAAGTGGAATCGTGGTAAGAATATTTTGTGCTGTAGCCTCGTCATATACAAGTGATTCTTATTGGAGTGTTACATGCCATCATAATCAACAGTATGCTCGAGGATGAGGTATAGTATATATAATTCACTCTTAAAGTATATGCTCTATATAAATTTTCTCCTGTATTTTTTCGATGTTTAAATAAAGATAAATTTGCTGTAATTAATTGTGGAAGGTTATTTGGTGATTTAGGTTTGGTAATGGTCGTTTTATTTGCAGTGATTTGGTCGTTTTACCTTGGGAGTTGCATAGCACTTGATTTTCAGTGAAAGATTTGTGTTATGTATTGAGCAGTGAATAAACAGCTACGCTCATATTTTATCTCCTTCGGGTGGTAATATTGTCCTGGGAATGTCAGCGATTGTATTATTTTCTAATATGCTTGAAAAGTATTGTGGTAAAAGGAATTTGTATATATTTAATTATTTCTCTTGCATTTTTTTAACATGCTTGAATAGTATTGTGATAAAGTGAATTTGTACATATGTAATTCAGTATTTTTTTCTTGGCATGCTAAAGCTTAATCTGCATGACAGTGAGGCTGCAGAGGTACTGGTAATGTGCTCACGTAAGATTAGACTACTGTAGGATAGACTACACTTGGCCTATGCACCAGAACTTAACACTTTTTGAAGACAGTATTTTTAAATTCTAGTATGTCATTAATCCATTTTTAATATTCTAGTATGTAATTTTTACTTTTTTAATTCTAGTGGCATTAAATTATTCTATTTTTTGTTTATCATTCGTACTTTTTAAAATTCTTGCCATAAATACTTTTTAATATTTTAGTATGTTATTATTTGTTAATTATATTGTCATTAATGCTTTTTTATTCTAGTGTTTTATTAAGAGATGCGATGATGTTACTGTTTGTATCTGCTCTCACCTGCCAGAGTAAATTTTAATTGTATAATTGTGTTTGGTTACTTGATACAGGTAACCTTATCCTATCCAAATAACCTAATTCAGCCTAATTATCCTAACCTAATCCTGTTCAAATGACAGTCTAATCAAGCTTAAATGCCCACATAACCTAATTTAACCCAATTAGCCTAACCCAGTTTGGATAACCTAATGTAACCGAACCCAATCTTATTATAATCCAACCCAATCTGTGTGACCTAACAACATAACCTAACCCAATCCTATGGTATAACCCAGCATAACCTAACCCAATCCTATGGTATAACCCAGCATAACCTAACCCAATCCTATGGTATAACCCAGCATAACCTAACCCAATCCTATGGTATAACCCAGCATAACCTAACCCAATCCTATGGTATAACCCAGCATAACCTAACCCAATCCACTAATCCATTTAGCCAACCCAACCCAAATTACCAGTCCCAATTACCAGTCCCAATCTAACCCCAATTAACTGGGTGGGAGGGACAGAAAACTTTAACCGAAACATAACTAATGTGTTATTTCCTTATCGCCGCCGCGTCTTCAGATCACCGGTCCGGGCCCCGCTAGTGCTGACGCTGGTGAGGCTGAGGGCCCGAGCGACGCCAAGCTGACACCGTTGACGTCCTCCGAAGAGCGCCACGTCAGCTTCGAGGAGGATGGCGGCGTACCGGGTGAAGAAGGGCCGCCGAAGAAGAAAATGAACGCGAGGGAAAGATGGTACTGGGCGTTCAACAAGATCGTCGGCGAGCTAAACGTGAGTACCTTTTATTTACCATCTCTTCCTCCTCCGTTCTTTTATGCCGTTCTTGTAACCCCTACTGTGAAATCCGGATACCAGAAGCTGAGTTCGGGTTCACTAATGTCACGTTTTGAATCTAATATAATTTACTCGTGTGATTTGCTATAGTTCACTTCGCTAAACATAGAAAATACAGAGACAACTTGAGAGGGTAAACCATACCACACCTCTCACCTCCCTGGTATGTAGAGCTCACAGTGGTATTTGAGAACCTTTTAAGTCTTGAATTCTCCCCTCCCAATGTGTTGAACGTGCCGAGAGGTTCAAAATTTTGGGGTTCAGATTCGATCGGGTAAATAAAATCCCATTAAGTTTCTCTCTGGGATTTTTTTTTTATGATTTTACTGTAATTCTAATGGCTGAGGGATTTTATGGACGTCTGTGTCTGTATTGGGATTTGAACCTAATTTGATACTGTATTATAAGGCACTAAATAGGTACACCCTGCCCAACTTTCCCCAACCCAACCCTGCCCAACCCCGCCCAACCCAACCCCGCCCAACCCAACCCCGCCCAACCCCAGGTAGCATAAGGGTGGTCAATCATCAGGTCCAATAAGCTGGGGTGGTGTTAATCTTCAACTGCGTCCGATATTTGTCATCTCTGTGTTGATATTCAGATTTATGTCCATCTACAGCATCTGTGTATTGAGGTAAGTGAGAGATTGATGCCACAGCTACACAAGGTAAGGTTTAGTGATGACAGGTGTTGGGTTATTACAGCTACACAAGGTAAGGTTTAGTGATGACAGGTGTTGGGTTATTACAGCTACACAAGGTAAGGTTTAGTGATGACAGGTGTTGGGTTATTACAGCTACACAAGGTAAGGTTTAGTGATGACAGGTGTTGGGTTATTGTTATTATTGTGTTGATTTACGACACGTGACGAAGGTATTGTATTTTGACAGGTGTTGGATAATTGCTAATTTATTATTAATTCGAAGTGATTTACAGTTTATATATATATTATTTTTTTTTACCAAGTGACGGAGCTGTTTTATGGTATTGTAAACATTGGCGTGGGAGTATATTATGGTGGGTGGAAGAGAGTCACCTGTATGTAATATTAAATTCAGTACCACGAAACAGAAACAAGTATACACCTAAAGTTCCTATAGAGTATGTTGTGTATACTGTGTGTATGTGTATACTGTGTGTGTGTGTATACTGTGTGTATGTCCTTGAATTGGGAGTGTTGCCATCGGTAGTGCATACATTAACTTTGGTAAACGGGGACACCTGGTCAATGCTGATAATTGCTACACAGGTAAACGCATCCTTGATCGTCAATAGGGTTCAGGTAATTAATAGACGTGGGTGTTAGGGGGCGGCTCTGGACTTACCCGTCTGAAAGGGATGTGTTAGTGTTCTGTGTTAGGAGTGGTGGAGGGTTAGGTGGTGATTGGATAGTTCTGCTGTTAGTACTACTGAAATAAGCTGGGGTGCCTAGTCTTCAGGTGAAATAAGCTGGGGTACCTAATCTGCTGGTGAAATAAGCTGGGTTGTCTGAAAGGGATGTGTTAGTGTTCTGTGTTAGGAGTGGTGGAGGGTTAGGTGGTGATTGGATAGTTCTGCTGTTAGTACTACTGAAATAAGCTGGGGTGCCTAGTCTTCAGGTGAAATAAGCTGGGGTACCTAATCTGCTGGTGAAATAAGCTGGGTTGTCCAATTTCTTGGTGAAATAAGCTGGGGTACCTAATCTGCTGGTGAAATAAGCTGGGGTGCCTAATCTCCTGGTGAAATAAGCTGGGTTGTCCAATTTCTTGGTGAAATAAGCTGGGGTACATAGTCTTCACGTGAAATAAGCTGGGGCGCCTAATCTCCTGGTGAAATAAGCTGGGGTGCCTATTATACAGGTGATCCGTTAATTGGTTTGTAAGTAAGCAATGAATGTGTGTGTGTGTGTGTGTGTTGGTTTAGCGAAGAGTTATTAATAAACGAGAGTACACTTGATATCGTTAACGTATTTAATATATTTACCAAAACATCCGGGACTTGCGATATACATGTACAGTATTGTATTATTTTACGTTAATACGACGTTTGATAGTATTAAAAGTTGCATGATTGCTTTTGTTACCTGTTATTTGTACGTTTTTTTCGACGTAATGTTAATTTGTAACAAAATACCTGTAATAATTAATGAAATTTGAGTGAATTGTGCTTACCTGTGTTTTTTTAAGGGGGGGAATATGACAAAAACAATCCACTCACTTTATGACAACATTGTATCGTGTTATGTTGCCAATTGGTTTATTTTCTGTGTGATTAAATGGTATCTAATTTCCTTTTAAATTATCTGGTATTATTTTGTTATGGTTTTAGCTGGAGTCAAGGTTTAGTATGATTTTTTTTTAGTATCTACCGAATTTGGAATTGGGAGGAAAGAGATAATTTGATAAAGAGACGAGAAACACAACCTTGGGGGTGATGAAGACAGGAAGAGGTAGAGAGATAATGTGATAATGGTGGAGCTAGGACGTAAGGGACGATAAAAGGAGATAAGATGGCCGGGGTTAGGTTAGTGGTGTTAAGGGGTATTGTTTTACTCCTGCTCACACACACACACACACACACACACACACACACACACACACAGACAGACAGACAGAAGTGACAGATAATAAAGATATATATCCCCACAAGTGCAGAAGCTTCCAGCGTAACAGACGGACACTGTGGAGGGACTTGCCGACTCTGTTATTACGGAGGGTCTTAAGAGAAGGATTACTTGACGAGTCGAGTCCTTCGGCATGTCGGGTCCCTGAGTTTAGAAGAGAGATTAAAATAAATTCCTTCGGTAGGGAGGGAGGTAACTATTTGTAAAAAAGCATGTCCAAGTTCTGGGTTTTGTTGAGGTGTGTGTGTGTGTGTTTGTGTGTGTGTGTGTGAGTGAGTGAGTGAGTGTCAGTTTCTGTGTGAGAGTCAGTGAGTGTGTGAGTGTCCCGCGGGAAAGGAGGAAGATAACCTAGGTGATTGGTAAGCCAGGGAGTGTAACGTGAGAGAAAACGACTGAGGTAACACGGCTGGGAGTTCTCTCACTCCAGGCGGGTAGGCTCCGTGTGGCTCCGTCGGTCTTGTTTATGTCTGGTCACTAGCGATCGTCTGTTGTTTGTTTATTATCGTTTTGTTTACGTGTTTCGGGTCGCTGTGTACTGTTGGATCCTAATGTCAAAATATACGTACACTTATTTTGTGGGTTTTTTTTTTACAACCAATTCTCGTGTAAAAATGTTGTAGCTGATGGGACATTTATCGCCGTTTACATGTAAATAATCGTCTTATCGGGATATTTATGTGATGCGTCTTGAGGGTCATTTATTTTCATTGTTGACACGTAAATGCTGTAGCCTATGGGGCATTAATTTACACGCAGTTCAACGTAAATCTTAAGGGAAATTTACACAGTTCAACGTAAATACTCCTACTTCGGGGAATTTATTTACACCAGTCACTCGCAGATGCTCAAGGTTAAATGAGATATTTGTACACAGGTGTCAAGACCACCTTTTCGATGTGATTAAATATGTACAGGTGTGAATCATCTTTTGAATACTTAATGCTTGGTAAGATAATTTGTTCTCGAACCCAATAATAATAATAATGATAATAATAATAATAATAATAATAATAATAATAATAATAATAATGGGTTTGTTCAGTGGAAAATTTTACGTAAGAACCATTAATGACTGTGTGTGTGTACTGTATAACCGTTTATATATATATGTGCATCATTTCTAAGTTTATACGTACATGTGGGTAAATGAGTATTAGTACATGTGTGTGTGTGTGTGTAGATAGTTATGTACGTGTGTATGTGTGGTCTCACCTACGCGAGTTATTGATTGAGTCTCTCACCTGAGGCTGTGTGACACCTTTACTGATATAACTGTAGGCTCGAGTCACCCAGACGTGAAGTAAAGATTGTGTTGTTGTTTGTAGGTCGAGAGGTCAGGGTTCAGTCCTCTGTTGTTTACTGCTATGGGTAGACAGTACTGTGTTGTTTACTGTTGTGGGTAGACAGTGCTGTGTTGTTTACTGTTGTGGGTAGACAGTGCTGTGTTGTTTACTGTTGTGGGTAGACAGTGCTGTGTTGTTTACTGTTGTGGGTAGACAGTGCTGTGTTGTTTACTGTTGTGGGTAGACAGTGCTGTGTTGTTTACTGTTGTAGGTAGACAGTGCTGTGTTGTTTACTGTTGTGGGTAGACAGTGCTGTGTTGTTTACTGTTGTGGGTAGACAGTGCTGTGTTGTTTACTGTTGTGGGTAGACAGTGCTGTGTTGTTTACTGCTATGGGTAGACAGTGCTGTGTTGTTTACTGTTGTGGGTAGACCGTGCTGTGTTGTTTACTGTTGTAGACAGCTGTGTTGTTTACTGTTGTGTAGACAGTGCTGTGTTGTTTACTGTTGTAGTAGACAGTGCTGTGTTGTTTACTGTTGTGGGTAGACCGTGCTGTGTTGTTTACTGTTGTGGGTAGACAGTGCTGTGTTGTTTACTGTTGTGGGTAGACAGTGCTGTGTTGTTTACTGCTATGGGTAAACGCTGTGTTGTTTACTGTTGTGGGTAGACAGTGCTGTGTTGTTTACTGTTGTGGGTAGACAGTGCTATGCTGTTTACTGCTATGGGTAGACAGTGCTGTGTTGTTTACTGTTGTGGGTAGACAGTGCTGTGTTGTTTACTGTTGTGGGTAGACAGTGCTGTGTTGTTTACTGTTGTGGGTAGACAGTGCTGTGTTGTTTACTGTTGTGGGTAGACAGTGCTATGCTGTTTACTGCTATGGGAGACAGTGCTGTGTTGTTTACTGTTGTGGGTAGACAGTGCTATGCTGTTTACTGCTATGGGTAGACAGTGCTGTGTTGTTTACTGCTATGGGTAGACAGTGCTATGCTGTTTACTGCTATGGGTAGACCGTGTTGTTTACTGTTGTGGGTGAGTGCTGTGTTGTTTACTGTTGTGGGTAGACAGTTATGCTGTTTACTGCTGGGTGACAGTGCTGTGTTGTTTACTGTTGTGGGTAGACAGTGCTATGCTGTTTACTGTTGTGGGTAGACAGTGCTGTGTTGTTTACTTCTATGGGTAGACAGTGCTGTGTTGTTTACTGTTGTGGGTAGACCGTGCTGTGTTGTTTACTGTTGTGGGTAGACA